GGCAAATCTAAAGCCTGCTCTTCATCTTTTGGAAAGCCTTTGTCTGTGTCCAGCTCATTTGTCTCAGTTACTCTTTTCTGTTATTGGACATGTTTTGGTATCTTTGTGTTTTGTTGGTGATATCTGGTAGTTATGTGGGTTTTTAATGCTTAAATGGATGCTTGTTGCTGTATTATTAAGCTTACTGTGTGTCTCCTGGTGGATATGATCAGGAGATAGGCTTTCCTTTCGTATGTAATGCTTCTTGTTGTTGTTGTCAGGTGCCACTGAGTCGGAACTGACTCATAACGACCCCATGCACAGCAGAACCAAACAATGTCTGATCCCCACCACCGCTGCCACACTTGACGCCATCAATGATGCCACCTGGCTGATCCATCTCATTGCGGGTCTTCCTCTTTTTCTCTGACCCTCCATCACACCCAGCATGACATCCCTCTCCAGCGACTCTTCTCTCCTGACAATATGTCCAAAGTATGAGAGACAAAGCTTAGCCACCCTGGCCTCTGTTTCAATAGTAGAATATGCTTGTAGTTTGGATAGGCAGGAGTAAAGGGTCCCTCACAAGTTAACTTTAGGGCTGGGACCCACAGGCAGAAATCAAAAGCAGCAGCCATAGAATTTGCCCTTGAACCGATGGGTGGGGCTCTTTCTCTCTGTGCTATGGGAAAGCTGTGCTCTCAACACTGGACTTTTTTGGGTATGCACCCACTCACCTGAAGGCGTCCAGGCTGGGCAAAGAAGGCACGACAGGGTACAGGAGTTTAAAATGTGTAGAATCCCCCCCCCACCTTTTGCAAATGTCACTGCACTGCTTTTAGCGAAGGTTCACTGTGCAGGTCTGGCTGTAGCCCCGCCCTCTGACTTCAGCCCGGGCGGGATGGCCGCAGAGGGAGTCCCGTGTCTTGACAGATTCCTAAATCACCATATTTTCCTTTATACCGTGAATTTTCCACTGGCGTTTGTGGGAAACTTACACCATGACACTTATGCTAGATCCAGAGCTCTGGTGCTGTTCTGTCAGAGCTGCTTCTCTGGGTTTTCAGCCTCCCCCACAGAGTCTGTCCTACCTGACTCTGCTCTGCCACCACCAAACCGGAAGAGGCTGTTAATCTTTACTGGAGCAGAAAGCCGCCTCTTTCTCCCATGGAGTGACTGATGGATTTGAATAGCTGACCTTGTAGTTAACAGCTCGAGTATAACCCACTATGCCACCAGGGCTCCTTGCTTGGGACTAGGGACACCTTTAGTCCATGCATGTGTTCCTTTTGAATTGAGAATAATGTCCTCCAAAAATTCACGGCAAAGCAGAATCTCAGAATATGATCTTATTTGAAACCAATGTCTTTAAGAAGTAACTAGCTTTTTTTCTCCCCCACATCTACTTCAAGAATAAAGATCATTCTCAGCAACCAGACAGTTGACATTCTTCAAAACTAAAAAGGGTTAACCAACAAAATCAATTCTGCCACCCAGTGGTGACTGAAATAAATGACTGTTGACAATTAGGAAAAAAAATAAGGCTGTCTGCATGGTTAAGATTTGGTGGTGGTGGTGTGCATTGGAGTTGGTCAGACTTATAGTGACCCTTATTGGGTTTCTGAGGCTGTAAATCATTATGAGAGCAAAAAGTCTCATCTTTCTCACACGAAGCAAGTAGTAGATTCAAACTAATAACCTTGTGGTTAGCAGCCCCATGTGTAACTCACTACATTATACTACCAGGGCTCCTAAGTTGAGACTTAAGTGGGGAAGAAAAGTGATGACTATGTGATATTGGAGATGTTTTATATTGAAGATATTCAAAACATAATTTTCTAATAAAATCAGTTTGGAGGTAAATTTGAATTGAAAAAGGAGACAGCTTGTTGGCTATATGGGCAGCAAGATATTTATTAGAAGATAAATGCATATATTAAAATGTTATACCATATCAACCGCCACCTTAGCTCTACCTAGTTGCTGTATGTACTACTGAGATTTCTTATAAGAATCACAGTACAACTGGAAAAGAAAGGTAGGATGATTTTTGAATGAAGGAAAAAAATAAAACAAAACTAAGGAACTTTGGGTATGTTATCTCGAGGGTTCTATCCCCAGAGGACACAATGCTTGGTAAAGTAGAGGGTCAAGTGAAAAAGAGGAAGGATATGGATTGACAGAGTGGCTCAAATAATGGGCTCACCCATGGGAACAATTATGAGAACGGCACAGGCCTAGGCAAGGTTTTGTGCTGTTGTACATAGGATTGTTATGAGTCAGAACCAATTCTACAGCATCCAACAAGGGAATTCCATAAGGTGGATGAGAGGCAATGTAAAGCAGGGTTCTATTTCTTGGATCTCAGTGTGTTTCAGGGTAAAACACTTTGTCTTTCAGAATCTCTATACCCAGATCTATAAATTGAGGTGATGCATTTATGTTCTAATATTCTACCACACTATGAAGTATTCCATCAGGCAGTCATGATATGAGAAATATTCTTGTATCCTTAATTTAAAAAATAATTTTGTTGGTGTAAACTTAGTAATACAATCAGAAGACAATGTGACAATATTAAGCCTATTTCCAACACACAAGTGTTTTATAAACATTAACTATTTGCAGACAAGAGATTTGGGAAGGGAATGAGATAAAGAAAATAAAGTATGACTTTAAATCCAATGCAGTGTAATGTAATGACATTCTATAAGGCAATCAACCCCTTCATGTCATACCAGTGTAGGGCAGATGTTAAACATAATCACTTCTGAGTTTTAAGATGACCAGAACAGACACTCACATACACAGGGAAAGACAGATGACATGTGAGGACAGTCTATAAGCAAAGAAGCTCAAAGCACTAGTGGCAGACAACAGAAACTAAGAGACTCAAGGAAGGAATCTACAGGCTGAGATCCTTAAAGACACCAGAATTATGAGAAAATACATTTCTGATCTTAGAAGACACCCATTTGTGATACTTTTGCTACAACAGCAGTAGGAAACTACTACACATTTTACACCTTCTTAAAAAATTTGAACCAAAAATATTGTCATCATTCTATATGACATGCTTCTTCTCTAATAGAGTTGTTATTTAAGAAAATCTTACTATAACATTTTGATAAGAAGCAAGAAAAACAATCTCTTTACACTCATTTTTATTAAACAAATAAGGCTGGTAGTGGAACACTTTTTTATTTAATGCATAAACGTATAAGTCCCTTTATTAGAGAAAGTGTATATACTGATGATAAATGGTTGCATCTATAGGTTAATTTTTTAAAAATTAGAACCAATAATTAGGAGAGATTCTGTGATCTTCATTACATTGTGAAGTGTCTTGTATAGTCATATTCTATCGTTGGAATGACAGCTTGTACAAATTTCAAGAAAATTAGAAGATACCTAAAGGTCTTTAGCTAAGGAAAATAAGATTTTTAAATAGTTCAATGCTTTAAACCAACACTGCAATTATCAATTATTAAGTATCACTTCATTTATAATATAATAGTAATGATTACTTTATTAATTTCTCAGAAAAAGTTTTATAGGTTTTTAAGATAAAAATCTTATAGCAAGTATATTAATGAAATTCACTTACATGGTTTATATCACTTCAATACAAAGGTGTCTATAACTTTAAGACCGTGCAACTACTCATTGCTATCTAATACTTGACTTTGACACTTCTAAAGGAGTAGGCATTCATATAACCCCAAACAAACACTCAAACCTGCTGCCATTAGGTAAGTTGATTCTGACTCATAGCGACCCTTTAGGGTAGAGTAGAGCTGTGCCACAGGGTTTCCAAGGCTGCAAATCTTTACAGAAGCAGACTGCTACATCTTTCTCCTGCGGAGCAACTGACGGATTCGAACTGCAGACCTTTCAGTTAGCAGTTGAGGGCTTAACCACTGGTGCTACCAGTGATCCTTATAGGCAGGCCCAATTATTTTTATGTAAAAATAAGAACAAGGCTGCTCCTATGTAAGTGGAAACTGCCCCCTTTATGGCTTACGATATTGCTAGAGAGTAATTTAGAGAAAATGACACAGAATGAAGAATATAAAAGGACTGAAGCAAAAGAGGAAAAAAAAAGTTCATTTGAAATCCTCCATAATGGACTGATTCTAGGTTATATCTTGCCAAAGATTTTGTTATATTGCACCGTCTCTAATAAACCCTTGAATTCTTTCTATGTTCCACTGCACTCTTAGGACATTATGAGCTTACTTACTTTTTATTGGGGAAACTAACATAAAGATGAATGCTAAACTATGCATAATAGGATTTCTAGAGTACATTCTGGTTTACTCTGTAATTCTTGGTTTATTTTAGTATCAAATCAGATGAAATTTTCTCTTACGGGATATAAATTATTCTTGGTGCTTAGGTTATTGTAGCTCTAACATAAAAGTGAATCACACATGGATGCTTCAGTCTACATCTAATACTGAAAAGTCTAATACCAACCTAGCACAAAACTATTTCAATGCCTGGCATTTAAATAATTGATTTTAACGGCCTTTGAAGATTCCATGCTACAAGTACATGCATCTATGAGTTTACTTGGATAGTAACGTTAGTTTATTCTTCTTGTCAAGCTCAGAAAACTAAGTAAAGGAATCAGAGTATGATACAACAGGATGCTATTTTCTGGTGGAAAACAAATTCTGAAACACGCTTCATGTACATTACTTTTTAATTAATCTACTTGCTTAAATTGAACTTTAAGGGAGACCTCAGACTGATACAACCTCACTTAACTTTTTCAGGGAAACATATGTTAACATTGGAAATGCACTTAAAGAAAAGATACTCATGTGCTATTTTCTAAATTAGTAGGTTAACATATCTTTCAAATGAGTATCTTTTTTATCAAGAGCAACTGTTTTGTGCTAAGCCATCCATACACTCTTAACCATTCCTTACCTCTAAGACAAACAAAAGCATTTGGCAAGCTACTGCTTAGAGGAACTTATTAACCTGAGGCTCTGTAATAAGACAGGATGAACTGCTTGCTGTACATAGGGTCATGTACTAAAGAACAACAAGGTCTAACTATGACAACAGAATATTTTCTAAATAAATAAAAGATTCCCATTGGACTTCTAGATATAAGGGGCCAGGCAAGTTACAGATATTGAAATTAATGGTACATGGAATTACCTAAAAGAAAAAAAATCCTAAACGCTAATTTGCCACCAACCACACATACCCAGGTAAGGATACATATGAACACCAAGTTCTCCCCCTCCTTCTGCGACAGTTTCAATAATTTTCTTCATCACTTCAGCATGTCTAAAAGTAATAGAACAAATACTATTATTGTATTCAATTAAATCAAAATAGTTTGAAAAGCAAGATTTTATTTATGAAGCAGTCTACCTTACTACCAGTGAATTAATGTTTAACATATACTAGTTACAATGTAACATATACCCACCCTGTTCCTGCAACAACAAATCAGACTGCTGCAACACTAAGGATGTTTTATTTGGGGAGGAAGTAATTTCAAAAAGCTACAGCACTCAGAGTAAACACAATGGTATTAGCTTTCCTATCAGACTAATGGACAAACCAGAGAAAGGAAGTCATGGCAGGGAGTATATGCTGGACAGTGGCTATCTCCTCTGAGAAACAAGCAAACTTAGACTAAGTAAGTTCAAAAGAAAAGAGCTACAGAGTAAAAGTTGGTTCAAAAAGCAAAGAACTATCTAAAATCTTGGGAATCTTACTGCTTAAATATTTTGCTGAGCACAGCTAACAATGAGAAGATCAAAGAAAAGCTAATAGGCCAGAGGTATTAAGTGTCTATAATTTTTTTCCCTTTGTCCTAATGGGTACTATGATTAGGCAGCGTAGTGATTACGAATCGGGCTGTGAACCGCAAAGTCAGCAGTTCGAAACTACCAGCCGCTCCGTGGGAAAAAGATGAAGTTTTTTGCTCCCGTAAAGATTTACAGCCTTGGAAACACTGTACAGGGTTGCTATGGGTAGGAACCGACTCAATGGCACTTAACAACAGATTGGGCACACAAACTAAAAAAAAACAAAACAAAGGCAAGGCACAATAGAAAAAACATTGCATACATAAATGGGCTTAAATAATGCCCCTCAATTTTTCACTAATTCAATCTTCATGATAGAGGTAATCAATTTAGCAGATGAGAATGAATATACTAATCTTGAGGATCTGAAAGCATACTCTGAGATGGTCCATGGGAAGGCCTAAAATATTTTTATGAAGTCTCATTTTATAGGCCTTCAGTCATATTTATATTCCTTAATACAGTTATTCATTTATTAAACTGCTTGAAATTAATTATAAGTTAAGAATAAATGAATACAGATATCCTCATGTCACATCTCCCAATAAAGAGGAGACATATAAGATCACTAAGCAAAAGTACAAGGTCACATTTGTGCTAGAGTAAATCATATCTAAATAACTAGATTGTTAAATCTAAAACAGGATCTTCCAATCTATTCTTGGAAAACAGGGGTTCAATCTCAACACCTAATCTGTATATAAGACACACAGAATATGTTACACTTAAAAATAACTAGATGAGCTTTTCTCCCTTTTAAAAATATGTATTTAATTAAGCATAAAAGCATTTCTAAGGAAGATAGAAGGGAATTTCATTTATATATTTCAAGTAGTAATCCCATGAAGTAGAGAAGACCCACACATACAAATATACCTGCACGGGTGAACTGAACACATAGGAGGTGGTGGGAGATGAGGGTGATTTTCAATGGTCACTGTTTTCTTCACATGATCTTGACTGATGTCTTCATACATGTGATCAACTGTTAAAGGTTGTCTTTGCTGAAAGCATTAAAACAACAACAAAAAGTCTTGAAGTACCGCTACAAAACTTTTAGCCAGCAATCTAAATATTAATAATCTTTTTATTCTCCCTACCTCCACCACTGATTTTACAATTTAGAATTCCATACCATTTGTAATTATCAGATTATTTGGAAGGAGATTTACAATGTATTTGTACCAGCAAACCTATACATGAAGTCTATATGACATTAACCACCACCTATGGAGTCCTGGTGTGGCTCTGTGGGTTAATGCGCTGCACTGCAAGGTCGGCTTGAACTGCAAGGTTGACAGTTCAAGCTCACCAGCTGCTCCTCGGAAATCCTATACAGAGTGGCTGAAAGTTGGAACCGATCTGACAGCACTTAACAACCACTACAATAAAGATTCCATAAAAAACAGGTTGAGGGCTGTCAAAATATTTTATAACTCATCCTCTAGGGCCCATTCTGTTTTATTTTCTTGTTTTCCACTTATAGTCATAAGAACACAGATTAAACAGGTTATTATTTCAACTATTCTTTACTCAAATAAATAAGAAAAAGTCATAGGACATAATTATTCATAAATGACTTTCTGAACAACTAATGCAGTCCCAAACAAAACTTAATAAACAAGCAGGTTCAATTCACCTCACACTTTGAAGGGATTACATCAGAGGTCAAGAAACAAACGGGTAGTAAGTCATTTTCTGTTTAAATTTTAATATTATTTTTATAGTTAAGTGATTCCATTCCCTTAAGAAAAAGATTAAATTTGAAATTAATCAAAAAATGAAAAACAAATGATTCCTGAAATTTGAAAGAATACACTATATAGTCACATACTTAGTGGAGGAGTGAAATCCAATGATTTAAAATATTTACATGAAAACTTATATTTTTACCTCATCATAGCCAAACAACCATAACCGCGGTGTTTGGTAATATTTATCATAAGTGATGTAAAGGTCATAGGTTCTGGTTTGCAAAATAGCATCTTCACTTCCAACATCAGCTTTAGCTTTACAAGCTTCTACTATTTTCCTTGTGTCTAGGGTAGCCTGGAATATAATAATGGGAGAAATTTTTAGAACACTAAAATTAGTATGAAGATGATTTTCTTAAAAAACTTATTTTTCCCACTCCAAGAAATTCATTTACAAACCTCATCTGTTTCCAATAATCCACTCTCTTCATATTCTGTTATAAAAAGCAACAAAAAATTAATCAAGTCCAAAATAATCCCTAAACCAGATTATATTATTTCAGGGTATCATTTGAACACTGGGTTTTGCTTTTCTTTTAACTGAAGACACTGAATAGATACAAGTGAAATAATTATGTACTTCCAAAGTAGTAGATACTTTACAAAATCAAGACAAAATCAGCATGTGAAGGCTTGGTCTATAGTACAGAACATCAATTATAGTAATTGACAGAATACTACTATATATACCAAGGGACTGCAAAACATTCATGGAAAAATGATACTAACAGATCCGTGTCCTCTACTTTGCTGAATCCAGAGGTATAGTCACCTTTATCTTAATGGAGCTTCCAGCAGCACCTGACAAGATTTATTCCCTCCTCTTTGCAACTTGGCCTGTAAAATACTGTATTTTCCTAGTTTCCCTTCCAACTCAATGTTATTCCTTCACTCTATCCTAACCTGATTTCTCTTTATCTCCTATCTATGTGTATTGGAGTCCTGGTGTGGCACTGTAGGATAAGCACTGGACTGCCAAGCATTACGTCAGCAGTTCAAAGCCACCAGTCACTCCTCGGAAACCCTATACAGTGTCTTTATGATTTGGAACTGACTTGATGGCATATAACGATATATGTTGCTAAGTGCTATCAAGTAGGTTCCAAGTCATAGCGATCCTGAATATGGTTTCTAAAGAGGGGCTGCTGGGGTTATATACATAGGCATCACTCCCCACTCCCTCTACCTTAACAGTGCAGTAACCCAAGCCTGAGCTCTTAGACCTTGTCTCATCTGTATATAAACTTTACTCCCTTGATGATTTAGAGCCATGATTTCAATGGCTTTAAATGTCATCTATATGGTGAGGTGATGATTCCCAAATGTATTTCTAGACTTCTGACCTAGTTATTCAATTGTTTACTTTATGTCTTCCAGTGAGTAACTAATGGGCATCACAAATATTCACAAGTAAGTTTCTGATTCTACCTTCTAAGCTGTTCAGTCCTTTAATTTTTCTGTTAATGGACATCATTCCAGATACTTAGTCTCCTAATTTCTTTCCCATACCCCTTTTGGTTTATTCATACTGAAGTCAAGAGTAATTCTGCTAAAATATTACATCTCATCATTCCTCTAAGAAAATCCTCTAGAGGTTTCTCATTTCACTGTAGTTAACGCCAGGACACTATGTGTCCTAGTCTCTGCTTACCTCTCTGGCTCCACCTCTTATTCTCACTCCACTCCAGATAGATAACAGGCTCCTTTCAATATTTTATGGAGCCCTGGTGGTGCTGCTTAAGCACTGGACTGCAACCACAAAGGTAACAGTTCAAATCTACCATCTGGTCCATGAGAGAAAGATGAGGCTTTCTGCTCCCGTAATATTTATAGCCTCAGAAACCCTATACAGGGGCGCTATGAGTCAGGAATTGATTCCCTGGCAGTGGGTTTGGCTTGGATTTCAGTATTTTATATAACTCACCTCAGAGTCGCTGCCTTTTTGCCCCAGATACCCAAACAGTTTGCTTATGCACTTCTTTCTATGCTCTTCTCAAATGACATTCTCAATGAGGTCTTCCTTGACCAATCTATTTAAAAACAGCCAGCATTCATCCCTGCCCTAGGAGCCCTTGCCCTTTCCCTCCTTAATTTTTCTCTGTAACACAATTATATAACAAAGTACATACTTTGTTTATACATCGTTTTTCATTTGCCTTCCCATAGCATAGTGGTTATGAGTTGACCTCAAGGTCAGCAGTTCGAAACTACCAGCTGTTGCATAGGAGAAAGATGAGGCTTTCTGCTCCCGTAAAAGATTTATAGCCTTGGAAACCCTGTGTCGCTATGAGATGGAACTGACTTCAAGGCACACAGCCACCACCAATTAGAATGGTAAACTCTATGACAGTACATCTATTGCTTTATCTCCACATAGACACTGTATTGCTCAATAAATAGTTATTGAATGAAAATGAAAATTAACTAAAGCACTGAACTGCAAAGTCGGTTTGAACCACAAGGTCAGTGGCTCAAACTCACCAGCTGCTCCTTGGAAACCCTACACAGGGTCACTATGAGATTTGAAACTGACTCCAGGGCACTTAACAACAAAAAAATATATTAGGTACACATCAAAAGTTTTTGAGCAAAATTCCATGTAAAGTAATGCTTCACATTATCCAAGAGAAATATAACAACTATACTAAAAGGCTGACATTAAGGTAGTCCCACAACTTATGTGGCACTGTGGGCTAATGGGCCAGACTGCAAAACCATTTGAACTGCAAGGTCGGTGGTTCAAGCTCACCAGCTGCTCCTCGGAAACCCTATATAGGGTCGCTATGGGTTAGAATCGACTCGACGGCACTTAACAATAACAACAACTTATATTCTGAAAGTAGTGCTTTCCTCATAGAGTTCTCTCCTTATTTCCCCATTCCACCTTGAGCAACTGTGTGGCATTCATAGCAAGAGAGAATTCAGAGCATTTGTGTATGAAGGTGATGAGCTTAGCTTCTGACAACTGTGAGCCATTTATGTAGAAATGAAATTGAACAAGATCTGAAGTTTTGATCTGGCTGGATGTGGAAATCCTGAGCACAGAGATGGTATGTGAAGCTGCTGTGAGCCATTTTGGTTACAAGTAACTCATTCAGATTTCCTTAGGGCTATGGAAATAAAAACAGAAACCTTACTAGAATTTAAGAACAAACATACAGCTAGGTTTCATGTGGACTTGAAAATAATTGAGTAAAGTGGAGTGCCTTTAGGCAGGAGACTGACTTACGTACTGAGAGCCCTTTGGGCATTTATCAGCAGTGCTTAAGGAGCTTGTAACACTTCAACAAGCAGGGCAGAGGCCAAGGGGCCACATGGCTACAATGAAAATGCCTATGGCATAGCTGAGAAGAGACGATACTGACTAGAGAACTGTTGTATTCTGAGTTTTTATTTTCAATTAGACCCTGTTAACCTCATAATAAACTCATAAACCTCATAATCATGAGTACTGTCTGTTGATTTCTGTGTGGTTACTGTGTGGGGTTACGGAAGTTAGCAGAGAAGCAGAATTCCATGGGAGGGAAGGTTGATGTCAGAATAGGATAAGGAAGGTTGAAGAGTAGAGGTATGTCCGATCCCCACCTCACAGGAATTAGTGTTAGGAAGGCGATACTGCTCCTTTCCCCTTGTGAAGTTGGAGGAGGTCGGACATGGCCCCCAGACCTTTTAAACATTTTCCTTTCCTCCAACTGCTAACATACTCTTTCTGTGTGTGTGTGTACACAAATTCACATTTAAACTTTCGTAGACTCTGATGTAACGTATACACCATTTTTTCCTGTTGTACAAATTTCAGTGCTAGACCATAGTATAGGAAGTACGCAACCATGCAGTAAATAAGATCTTTGAGTATAAACAGAAAAAAAAAAAAAATTATATATATATCCCATCAAACAGCATCCTAGAAGCAAAGAGCCCCCAGCATCATAGAAGCAAAGAGCCCCCAGAAGACTAAGAAGAAACAAATCAGGATGGAGGAGAAAAATCCAGTGCCACAGAAACCAAGGGAGGAGAAATGGTTACCAGAACCAGATGTAGAGAAGATGAGAAGACTAAAGGTGGATTGACTTAACAGAAAGGAACCCTAGTGACAGCCAATAGCGTCACCAAGTTTTAAATGTCTGAGGTTTTGTATGCACTAAAGATCACCTTATTAATAAAACAGTCAGACACTCACAGACCTGCCTGACTCTGTTCTCTTAGTGTAGTGGATCTCAATCTTTTATAACAGTGATCCACCGATGCAGTGGCTCTGCATTAATAGTTCTAAGAGGACATTTCAGAATCTCAGAGATTCTGTGTAGTTCAAAAAGATCCCACTAAGAATCATTGTTAGAATTTTAGCAGAAAGGTGTTTTCAAATGAAAAAACTTACAAAAACATATGAGCAAATATGTAGCTTAAGAATCTGCATCCTAGAGATTTACCCAGCATTAGACATTTATAATGGATATTCTTCCTAGTAGAAGTAATGCTGTTAACACTATGCCCTAGGAAAAGTAGGAGAGTTCAAGATCAAGGCAAGCTTTACACTGATTAAATTTAAACTAAACAAAATCCTCGCTAGGTTGCTAAATGTTAATATTTAAAACTTAGTGAAGTAGAATTCTTCATTCATATCAATCAGATATACTGTGAAATAAATAATGCAATGTGACTAAAACAAATCAAGAAGGCAAATACCTTCCATATCTGCAGCTTCGCCTTCGTCTTCCTCTTCTTCCTCACATGATGCTGAACAATCTTGGAGTTTTATACTGTCCTTTGAAATTAATTGTAAAGTCATTTAAATACGTTCATTAGTTCAACTACTGAGTTCCCATTTGTCAGTACATTTCTAACCAGTGTGAAAATAAGAGTGACAAGACAGTTCTTTTCCTCCAGAAACTTCCATTCTACTAGGGAAGACACAGCCTCATAAACCAGTTATTTACAGCCATGTGCTAATAAGTGCTATGAGTGAAAATTATCAAAGGTACAGGAATATGAAGTGTTAATTAAAGGAATGCAATTTCCAATGAGAAAAACATTAAAATAAATTTATGTCTTAGAAATTCAGTTCAAAGTTACGTTAACTTGCCTACATGTAATTTAAAGGAGGGAGAAATTATATTTGTAAATTGTAATGTATTTATACATTAGACAGGATGAGGGTTTGGTTTATGTAATAATTTATTTCAATTTATAAATACATTGTGATTTATAAAAATCCATTATCTTTTTCACGAAACTGATACCCTGAAAATTATAAGTCAGTATAGTAATGTCAGTAAAATGGGCATCCAATTTCACCTGATTTACGGTTTTACTTAAGGATGATTCTATTTACCACTACAAACTTAAATTATATTGAACCTCAAATTTGAAACTACAGCAGCAATCCTGCCAGTGTCGAGCATACTATTAGATGGGTCAGTATCTGAAAACTGATCATTAAAAGACATTTAAATCATGTTGGTGATGATACTTGATAAACTATAGTAGACATCAACAACAACAATTAATACTTGGATTTGCATGGCAAGTTCTGTAAGCACTAAGTTACAATACATAACATAATCTATATATAAGGAGCCTCAACGTCAGTAGTTTAAAACTACCAGCTGCTCTGCGGGAGAAAAATGAAGCTTTCTGCTCCCAAGATTTATAGCTTCAGAAACCCTATGCAGGGAAGTTAGGAGTCGGAATCGACTCCGTAACACACAACCACCACCGCCACCACATTAAGTAGGAAGATATATGCTAGTCAAATGTTATTCTGATTTAGTCTTCATCCTGCAGGGCATGAGGCTGTGGCATAATAAGCAAAACACCATTATCCACCATTATCACACTTACTTGAGAGAATTTTTATAAATCTATCAAAATGAAAGTCACCCACACTATTCCCAAAGGCCGAAGCATATGCAATACTAAATGACTTTAACAGTAAGATACAATAAAAACAATGGGCTTCAAAAAGCTCATGGAAAAACTATCTTATCTTTTAATTTTTCCACGAACTCTCCCATATAAGACACAAGAGTGGATGGCTCTGTATAACAAGACTGGGCTGCAAACCACAAGGTCAGTGGTTCCAGCTCACCAACCATTCCACAGGAGAAAAGACTTTTTCTGCTCCTCAAAGATGTATAGCCTCAAAACCCCATATAGGATCGCTATGAATTGGAATAGATTCGGCAGCATCAAACAGCAACAACATATAAAACAGATTAAATGGGGACACTTACAGAAATCAACCATAACATAAAGGTAATTGGCTGAGTAAACAGGTAGTGCTTCTGAGTTAGCAAAGCCATTTGTGTGATTTTTCCTTAGTCATGCCGACTCTCCAAAAAGCAGAATTTCAAAAGGATAACCTAAAGCCAATGAACTCAACTTTAATCCCCAGCAAACAAAAATTCTACAGTGAAAAACAAAACAAAACAAAACTCAATTTTGCATTCTATTAAGCTCTAGTCAACACTTCCTGAAGATTCCAATGGCAAAAACATACAAAGCATATCTTCTTAAACTAGTAACTACTGCAGGCAATGTTTCATACGGACAACAGGAATGCAATTAGTCCATCTAAATAGTCTATCCTTTAAGAGATATAACTACTAACAAAATGATTTTAAAAATGGTAAGAGTGAAGGCAGATGGTGTAATGTGTCAAATTATTTCAAACTGAAAATATAAAGAAAACTGCAATTGTTCTCTCTTTAGGATTGAAAGTTAATATAATACATACTGCTTGAGTTAACTGAAAACTTCTAAACCCAAAAGTCCCAACCAATTATTATTTTATACTCTCCCCCACCCCCAAAATAAACCATAGCATTAAACTAAACTGATTTAGATTACACTCATTCAAAATGTAATGATCCTGGATGAAATTAAGCTCAAGTTTACATTTCAATTTTCAAAAGTAAAAAGCTAAAATATTAAGAAATTAGTGAATGATTAAACTACTTTATACAATTTAAAGTCAAATTATAAACACTAACATTTCATTAATGTCCACTACTGTGGCGCTGTGGGTTAATACGCCAGACTGCAAAGCCATCTGAACTGCAAGGTCAGTGGTTCAAGCTCACCAGCAGCTCCTCGGAAACCCTATACAGGGTCGCTATGGGTTGGAACCAACTCGACAGCACTTAACATTCAACAAGTGGAAAAACCCTCCAAAACTTCTACTTACACAATACTCTATTTTGTTACAGACTGAATTCCCTCCCCGCCAAATGTGTTATAAATCCTGTGGTTATTATCATACTTGGAAAGGACTTTACATGTAGGGTATGTCTTGAGCAGACTAAATAAGCACATATGGAGGGGGTCTTAAGAAAGATGCCACAAAGATCATCAAGGACCTTTCTCAGAGCTGACAGATGCAAAACATTTCTCTTGAACTGGGACCCTGAATTTGGACGTCTAGCCTCCTAAACTGTGAAAAAAATAAATTTGTTTGTTAAAGTAACCCATTACAGGTATTTCTATAATAGCAGTACTAAATAACTTAAGAATTTTTTTTTTCTAATTTAGACTATCATTCAAGTTCTAAAACTTCTTAATAGTAAAAAATAGTAATTTTTACCAGTTAGACTCTAAAAAGATATATATTATATATTAGAGATTAAGAATAAAATAGGAAACACTAATTTTTTTGGTATGGTAATGCAAAAACATGGGCGAGGCAGGAGCAGAAATTACTGGAATTTAGAAGTAACTTGCTAATAAATAATTAGAGTTGGGGGGGGAAATGAGTAATTTTACAAATGTAGTTATTAGCAATAATGAGGTCATTGAAATTAGAAATGTAATTAATTAACCAGTACCTTGCTTTCCAGTGTAATCTCCTTAACTGCTTCAGTTACTCCTGCAACACCTGTTTAAATATCAACACAAAAGAGTAACTAAAATTAAGTTAAGTATTCCAATTTATCTGATTTGATTTCTATAAAGACAGTTAAAATAGCTAAACTCACACAGCTTCTCTGAAATGAAGTGGCAAATGCTAGCAGCAATTTTGCAAATGAACCTACTAGGAATAAATAACCCAGAGTTATCTTTCATATTGTAAACAATGACATCTTAACAAATGACATCTCAAGAGAGAGTTTAAAAAACGATTTACTTTAACCTCAAAGTCCGTTAGGTGAAGCAACTGGGACTGAAACCTGCTGACTTTTGGCTCAATGCACTCTCACTGAGTAAATACATTAGAACCTAGTTGTCTCAAAGTAGGTATTAAGCAGGCACCTCCAACTCCAGTTCACTAGATAATATTTCCAATTAAAAATATATGCCTGTGTTCTCCAACAGATTAATGAGTGTTGGAAATCCAACAAAACGGTAATAATTAACTTACTTTAAAAAATAAAAGTATGCTTAGATCTTTTGTTAATCTTCAAAAACTTTGCTATTATCTGCTGGACATGCCTAAACAAAAGAATGATTAGCTCACTTTTACAAGTAGAAAATGTCACAATCCATAGCTCTTGCATAAAGTCTTTACCTCATAGTTTTTCTAGAAATTTGTGTAAGGTGTTAGTTACATTACAACTGTAAGCCCTAAATACTTAACACAACTAACTGATATTACAAAATGAGTCACTGAATCCTGTTCAGAAAAACAAAGAAAATGAATGTCTTTAAATCCTTTAAAATGTAATAATGTAGTTGCTGTTGTCAAGTACCATCGAGTTAGTTTCAACTCTCAGTGACCTTGTATAGAGTTCCTGAGGAGTAGCTCGTGTTTTTCAACAGATGACTTTGAGGTTAGCAGTCCAGTGCTTACACAGAGTGTCACACCAGGACTCCAGTAATGTAGTTGTTGTTGTTAAGTACTTTTGAGTTGTTTCCGACCCCTAGTGGCCCTGTATAGGGTTTCTGAGGAGCGGCTGGTGAGCCTGACCTGCCAACCTTGCGGTTCAAACCAACCAGTCACTCCAGTGCATTATCCTGCAAAACCATTAAACCAGACTCTTCTAACGTGGGACAAAACTGGCAAAGAAGAAAGTTCTGACCACTCTAATGAAGGTAATTCGCTCAAAGGCTGATTGGAAAGAAAGAAGCCCAGAAGAAGGCATAAAGCAAGGCATCTGGCCCTTTGACTCAATTGGAAGCCATGCTCTAATGAAATTGGAATATAGTTTAAATCTAAGACTCCAAAGTTATCTCTAATAAACACTGATTAGAATTTATTATGTACATCAGATCAGTTGTAGTTGTTTCCATGTGCAAAAATGATAGTTATCTCCTATTACCAGAGCAAACAGTTTTAATTGTGAGTCCCCTTTTTGTAACAGATTTCTGTCAATCTAATTGTTGTGACACTTGCTTTTGTAAATGCCTTTTTAAATATGCACCTGGATTTTGCGTATGTGATTAAGGAACAGAATACAAATAGACAACATAGTAACTCATTAATTTAAGATCACATAGTGCTGTAGCCAATGTTCCCTTCAGTCAACAGACAATTTTACTACAAATGTACCATTCAGATCTTTCAAAACATTCATTGGGAAAATTAAAGCAAGCAGCTAAAAGATTTTGGATTTAAAAAAAAAGGAGAGGCTGTACTTAGTGGAGGGGGAAAAAAGACTGAAATTATTTTAAGACTGTTGAATATGTTGTCTTCTGCAAGCTTGAACATAACACACAACCAATTAAGATGCAAATGAGTTTCAAAACCCCAAGTCTTGTTAGCGTAAATAACACAGGAGAAGTTCTAAATCTGTGTTGTATCTCTATAAGGAAGCAAATGGCAGTGTCCTATTCAGACAGAGGAGAAAAAGATCTAAAGAGGTACTGTGCCTTGTGTAAGTTACTTAGCTCTGTCTATTGCAGTGGTGGGAGAAAAATGAGGCTTTCTGCTCCCGTAAAGATTTACAGCCTCCGAAACCCTATAGAGGGTCACTATGAGTCGGAACCGACTCCTCAGCACATAACCACCACCACTACCACTGCAGTGGGTCTGAATTGTGCACAGTAATTTTGCCAGCCATAGAACATTTGGCAACATCTAGAGTTCTGGTGTGGTGTGGTGTGGTCTGGTAAGCACTGGACTGCAAACTGAAAGGTTGGCCATTCAAACCCACCAGCTGGTTCAAAGACATCCTAGATGCCTGTGGCTATTTTCTGGAACCAACTCTATGACACTTTAACAAGAGACATTTTTGGTTGCCATAATTGGGGCATGTTACAGGAAAACAGGGGGTAGAGGCCAGAGATATTGCTGAGCATCTTACAGTGCATAGGAAAGTTGCCCACAGCAAAGAATCATCTGGCCCAAAATGCCAAAAGTGGCAACAACAAATAAAGCGATGCTCTATTGCTACTATTGAATGTATTCACATACCTCTGAGTCTCTACAACTTAGAGGGAGAAAAATTGTCTCAATAACAAAGATTTAAACTCAGAACATATTTCCTTCATCAAAACGAGGCATGAATGGTAGTTAGCTACATCTGTATGCAACATTATACATTTACACAGTTTCATAAAAATAATGATAAAATAGATTTTATGGGGCTTGGAATAAAAAAAAAATGTATTCAAGACTTTAAAAAAGTATGCAAATGTACACTTAAGAAAAGCTTACATTTATTCTATTTAACAATATTCTGTTAAATGCACACTAACAATATTTATTGAACAATTTCTTTATCAAGCACTGCGACAAAACCATAAAACCAAACCCAGTATCATCAAGTTGATTCTGACTCACATGGTTTCGGTGGCTGTAAATCTTTACAGCAAGCCTCATCTTTTTCCTATGGAGCAACTGGTGGGTTTGAACTGTCAACCTTCAGTTAGCAGTTCCGATGCTTACCCTATAGCGCCACCAGAGTATCTTTAGGCACGTGATAGTGTTCTAATTAAGTGCTGTTGAGTCAGTTCTGACTCACAGTGACCCTTTTTATGGTTTCTGAGGCACAGCTGGTGGGTTTATGATGCTGCTGTGATTGTTAAGTGCCACTGAATTGGTTCTGGCTCATAGTAACCCCGTGTAGGGTTTCAATGAGTGGCTGAATGGGTTCCAGTTGCCGACATTTCAATTAGCAAACCAGTGCGTATCCTCCAGGGCTACACGAGGACTCCATGATACAGAATTCAGCAATAAATCTTTATCTCATGGAGTTTATAGTCCTGAACATTTTTTCACTTTTCATTCAGTAATTACCAATTACTCTTCATTGCCAGATATTTAGTTAGTTATATTGTCTGGATGCATCCTCTTCTTTTGATCAAGGCTGTAATAAAAGATTGTGAAAAAGTTTAAACAATGTAAACTCTGAGACCATTCTGGTCTCATCTTACCTGTGTTGTGATATGTATCTACCCATCCCCCATCACCATCATCTTCTTCAATAATAGCTTCCAATTCATCTGAATATTCCATCTGCTTGCACCGCTTGTAACATGGCACTATAAAGAAATGGCAAGTGCAGTTACAGCATGTAACCTGCTACCTGAAATTTATTAGAAAAAAAAAAAGCCTGTCCATCAACTTTTATTCTACAATGATGTAACATATGCACCATCTATATATTCTATAATAGTATAATTCACGTCTAAAGAAAGTGATTCATTCCCAGTTATAGTCAACCCACACACAATGCATTATTTGGCTACATTAGCTTTTCCCTGTACTTCAGAGACTAAAGAAAGTGCTCTACTGAGAGTGCTCAATATATTTCTTTATGCTGATGGTCTGTGAAAAACAACAGGTTAAAATCAGAAGTGATGTTGTTCAACTTCAGCCTTATAAAAAAGACAACCTTATTTTAATAGTTTTACTCTTAGAACATGGATACACCAACTGTTAATACTCAAGGGTGCGAGAGGTGACCTCAAGTTTGTAAGGCTAACAGAAGTTTCAATATGAAACTCATAATTCATATTTGTTTCTGTTATTTGCAATAAATAAAGAGCCTTGAAATCTTTGTACTGCTGAATTTTATTCATTTACACGATACTGCAGGATAAGCACTGAAATGTTAAGACTGCAAGGTCAGCAGTTCAAACTCACCAGCTGCTCCCTGGAAACTCTATACAGGGTTGCTATGACTTGATGACATTTAACAACAACTATGCAATGCTGGTGATAATGTTTCCATACAGCATACATATTAATTAATGGGTCTTATTATTATTACTATTTATAAGCCTGAAATTATATAATCACAGGGTAAACCCATCATGCCATAAGACTAATAAATCTGATTTTTTCAAAATCAAGCTAGAGTATTAACAACTATCGATTCTAATTAAAAAAAAAATGCCAAAGATAAGAAAAATTTATGTTTTGTATATATTATTTTTCCTTTCCTATATTGGTTAAGAGAGTCCTGGTATGGCGTTGTACAACAACCACTGGATCAAAAGATCGGTTTGAATTGCAAGTTGGGTGATTAAAAGTCACCAGTTCCTCCTTGTAAACCCTATACAAGGTCACTATGAGTTGAAACTAACTCGATAGCACTTAGAAAACAAAAGCATACTGGCTGAAGTTCAACAGAAATCAATCTACTACTTTGGGATTAAGATACCCTTTGATACTGCTTTCAAATTAATTTAGCAAAATACTGTGTTTCAAAAACTTTTTTGGGCCTATGAGCAAGCCTTCGATGACACAATGGATAATAAATTCTTTAGTTTTTTAGAGATTTTAGTATCAACAGGAGTATCACTTTCCATGAGAAACGTCAATCTAAAGAAAATTACAGTCAAATAACTAACTAGATTATGATTTTGACATTAACTTCAAAAAACAGTTCAATTACAGTATAGTCCAACTTTGTGCTTAAGGCCCTCTTCGTCCAATTACATTATTAGGTCCTTTTGGGAAAAGAAAAAAACAGCAAAATGGGAGGGTAAGGAAGGAGATAAAGGTCAGCTAAGTAAATGGTAAAAAAAAAAAATAAATAAAATCTCCACAGAAGAAAGTGGAGGGCTTCATTAAGTTTCCAAATTTTTGTCTGACAGAATCTGTAAACACAGCTTTAAGTACAAATTAAGACCAGTAAGGTTTAAGTTGTTTTTCCCTAATAAAACTGTGCAAAGTTTTCTAATATGTACAACACAATTCTTACCATTTTTGGTTACCAAAAATTGTTTGCCTGTTGGTAGGTATGCCTTCACTTTCAATTCTTCCCCTGTAGCCCTTTGAAAACAATGAAAAGCACACACACACACAAATTTATGAAGCAAATATGATACCAATGCTATCTCATATTAATTTCAAAACTATACAATCCACAGCTACATCTATCTGTCCAAAAACCAACCAAGTTTAGAGAGCAGGAAGGGGCAGGAGAGATGGGTGAACGGAAACAAAATATCCAGGGAGGAAGTGTGCCGAGTGCTGTTACAATCAGGAATTGCAACTAGCAAGAACAACAACAGTGGGAGTCCTGGTGTTGCACTGTAGGCTCAGCACTGGACTGATACCTGCTAGGTTGGTGGTTTAAACCTACCAGCTGCTCCTAGGAAACCCTATACAGGATCACTATGAGTTGGAACTACTGACTTGAAGACACTTAACAACAACAAAGTTTGTTGTACACTATTGTATCATTTCATTCACATTTTTAATCCTAAAGTAATGCTCATCTCCAGGCCTACAAGAGGCACAAAAAAAAGCTGCATTACATTACTTAACAATGTAGGTAGTTGGCAAGATCCCATTCCAACCACTGTATAAAAATCAGAACTAGGGGATAGATGATTTGAATCACAAAATATAATGTTGAGTACATGAAGTATAATGATGAGTAAAATTAAGCTATTATTAAAAGGTTCAAAACATAAACATTATATCACTAAAAGGTAGGTAATGTTGTTGCTAAGCGCCGTCCAGTTGGTTCCAACTCATAGTGACCCTGTATAGGGTTTCTGAGCAGTGGCTGGTGAGCTTGAACTACCAGCCTTGTGGTTCAAACTGACTTTGCAGTCCTGTGCATTAACCCATAGTGCCATACCGCGACTCCAGATAATATTCGATCTCCATTTTATAGGCAAGGTCAGCAGTTCAAGCTCACCAGCTGCTCCTCGGAAACCCTATACAGGGTCGCTAAGGGTCGGAACCGACTCAACGGCACTACACAACAACAAATTAAAGCTTGGTGATGCTCAGATGGTTGTGTGCCCTGCTGGCAGTTCCGATTCATAGCGACCCTGTGCAGGGTTTCCGAAGCTTTAAATCTTTATGGGAGCAGAAAGCCTCATAGGTCTCCTGCAGAACGGCAGATAGTTTTGAAATCTTAAAAGAGGTCAAATTTCCCAGTGTCAAAACCAGAAGGTGGAACAACCAGGATCAAGCCAAAGACTCCAGGACTCTTGCTACTAAGCACTACTCTTTCTTCAGGTCAGAGGCAGCAGCAACCCTTACAATTTCTCTAAGGTACACTGAAATCCCTCAGGAAGGTTTTCTATGGGTTATCTATTGCAACTGGCTAGAGCTAGAATGACATTTGGTGGCTGTCACAAGTACACAACCATAAATGTTTTTAAACTTCAGTCAAGTACATGATAATGTGCTTACATTCCAATATGATTAGACAACCCTCTTAGATTCTCTAGACAATTCCCAAGTGTTAAATTCAACAAAATTACGATAAACACCACAAGTACTGAGGAAAGAATGCTCCACAAGCTACTTGAGGTTTGTACAAAAGACAGTATGGAAATGCAAAAACCTCTTTCTACCATTGATTTTAAACAGATGATGCCTTTGGACCTAGCAACCCAGCCAAAAAAGTTAACACTGAAGTAGAATATAAATGAGTCCTAAATTATAATAAAATTATTTCAGCCTACACAATTCATAAAGTAGGACTATAAACTACAAATGTCTGCTAAAAGAAAATCCTGTCCATATATATGTATGCACCCTGTCCTGGTATGGCGCCGTGGATTAATGTGCCAGACTGCAAGGTCAATTTGAATTGCAAGGTCAGCAGTTCAAGTTCACCAGCTGTGCCTAGGAAACCCCACACAGGGTTGCTATGGGTCAGACCTGACTTGACAGCACTTAACAACAATAATGCTCTAAGTCAATAACTATACTAATTAGATAATTATGATATGTGATAAAGAAATTTTGATTTAAAAAATGGATATTCTATTGAAGTAATCATAAATTAGTTCTTTATAAAAAATGCATGTTAAATTTTATAAACCTAATTGACTTGAAATATATCTTATAGATTAAAACTTAGTAAATACATTTTTAACAGATAAAAATGCTAACCACCCTTACTAAATCACAGAACTTCTATGAACTCAATTTTAAATATGGAACAGAAATACATTAAAAAAAAAAAAAAAGGGAATAAATCTGCTAAATAAGTACATAAAACCAATGTCCTAGAAAATGAGAAGCAATTGTTAAAAAGTAGTGACAACTGTCTTGGATGCATGTTAAACATAAAAACTACAATGAACTAGATCACAGCTAGCAAACTCTAGTTATAAATAGTTTATTTAAGGTCTTTAAATGTTTAAAAATATTATCAATTAGAACTTCATTAATTCTGGAATTCCTGTTCCCAAATAAAAAATGTTCATTTGAACTACAATAAAAAGTGCCATGGTTTGAGGAGGAGGTAGGTTATACAAGTATTAAAGCCCCTATAACCAAACAAGGTGGTAATATCAAACACCTCTAGCCTTATTAAGAGAGTTCTGTCTGTACTGGGATAAGTTTTCATTCACTGTCAGGGAGGTTTACCATAAGTGCTTGAAAGCAATGAAACCACATTTCATTTAAAACACTGTTATCATTCAACATATTTTTAAAACATGTACTATTAGAATTCTTAATTTGTTTAAATTACTTTTGCAATTAAAAGTTAATGAAGAAAATATAACTCTTTAATAGTTACAGTTATTTATAAAGAGACACAATGCTTTTGAATTTTAACAGTAAATGTCAATTAATGTTAGTTTATCTACAATAAAAAATGTTCAATAAATAATTGCTAATATGAAAAAAAAGCCATCAAATTTATTAAATTCCTGAATATTATGTTTTAAAGAACCACCATAAAATCAAGCCTAAAGTGAGTAAGGCATTTTTAGCTCAAAAACACCCATCTTTTCTGCTAACAGAACAAAACAGAGTATGTACAGTATGCATTTTTCTACCCTTATTTTACTTTTATTGTCAATGGAACACCGCTTCATAGAAACATCTAATAGAACTGGGTTAAACTAATCATTCTAATTTTCATATAGTAAGCTGTATTTCAAATTTCTGTAATTTCCAAGTCATAGCTTTTATCTAATTTTCCATTCTTCACTCAAAGTTACTTACCATTGCCATGTTGGACAGTGATGGACTAAGTGATCTCCAGCTGCCACAAACTATTCAGGATTTAGAATGAAAGAAAAGGAAAAAATAAATATCACTGAATGTATGCTGGTAAAATACCAAACTGATCATCTGATGTTAACTTTAGTACCAAATATCAAATGCAAATGCAAACAGAATTAAATCATTCTCCAAGTCTGAACATTTATTTTAATTATTATTAAAACTATACTTTTTAACATAAAAATTCAAATAAATTTGGAAGAAAAAAAACTTTAAAAAAAAAAAAAAAATTCCATTTTTGTCATTAGGTTAAATAATGCTAACAGCATACCATATCATAAAATGAAAAAAAGGTTAAGGGTACCCCCAGGAGTCCTAGTGTGGCACTGCAAGATAAGCATTGGACTGCAAGGTAGGAGGTTCAAACTCACCAGCTGCTCCTGGAAAACTCTATATAGAGTCACTAGGTGTTGGAACCAACTCGAAAGCACGTAACAACAAGGCATAAACTGTCAAATACCCACTTTAGGAATAAATGAAAGGTTTTTGTTAAGTGCTGTCAAGACGGTTCTGACTCAAAACCACCCTTTATAGGTTTTCCAAGGAGCAGCAGCAAGTGAGTATGAACCACCAACCTTGCGATTCAAAAGGGCTTATTCTACACCATCACACCAAGACTCCAAAGTTGCTATTGGTTAAAAATTTCAATGAAAACCTCTGGAAAAGTTGTTAAATTATGTGGGGGCCTTAAGAAAGTTATAGAAAAATTCCATTATCATTTAATTCCATTTTTTTTCAGCCTCTCATGCAAGCCTGTAATCCTATAATGTAAGGTGAGTTAATTGTGTCACAGTCCATGTTTTTCCTTTGTGTCTTTTCCCCTTAATTTAGATAAGGGCAAATTATAAAGCTTTTTTTCATACTTTTAATGAAATCGTTGTTAAGTTCTGTCAAGTTGGTTTCGTCACATAGTAGTCCTGTATGGGGTTTCCAAGAAGTGGGTGGTGGGTTTGAACTTGAAGTTCAAAATGACCTTGCAGTCCAGTGCATTATTCTGCAGCACCACACACCAGGAATCCAAAGGCACCATTAAAAACAGAAAAATGTAGTGCCAATATAAAAGGGGGGAAACAGAAGCTTTTGGAATGACTTTAAAAACAAGTTAATCAAGATATTGTCTGCTAACAAACCTTTCACTTTCTGAGTGAACTGATTATACACATTTTTTAATTTTATCCAGCAATTAAAAACAGAAGTAGGGAGAAACAGCACCCCCTTTTGAGAATTTCCAATTTAGGCAGGAGCTAGCTATACTGGAGGGCAGAAATCCTGCATACTCTTAAGAGTTAAAAAAAAAAAAAAAGTCTGTTAAGATTTAACTACTCCCCAACCTGTGCTCTACTATCTTATATTGGTTTCCCTTGCCTACTACTGTCAAACACACACTTGAGTGGGATAGAATGGAATGTTGGGAAACATGATTACAGAAAGCTTGTAAACCTATCTTGAGTCTATGGAATACCTAAAAGGGGTTCTAGAACTTGCCCAGTGAAATAGGCTTCTTCCGGAGCCTTTGTAGTGTATAGGACCTTAGGTGGAATCCTGAGCCCCATCCTAAATTTCTGAGGTGGGACATTCCCACTCGAAAGGACAAGCAGACAAGCCTGGAGTTGCCACAGAAACAGAAGATACTTCTTGAAAGACCAGCAAGAAAAAAAAAAACAAAAAACACAACAGATACTGCAATCTGTTTGGTTACTACAAGAACAAGTAAGCTGCTTGCCTGGAGGGTCAGGACAAACCTCCTCCAAGACTGAAACCCAAAGGGAACACACAAGCAGGCATGTAAGCTTGCTGGTGACCACATTGGTCTACATAAGAGTGGAAGTGGGGGAAAGGCAGCAATGAAGATAAGGGCTGAGTTTGACCATGTTCCATAGACTCCTGTTGACCTTGAAATAGAGAGAAGAGGAAGGGCTGGTTGGTTCAAAGTTTGAGGAAACTTGCGAATTCCTGAGCCCATGGACAATGACCTAGCCACAGAGGGCTAAAGCTGAGAGTAAAGCATCCAGCTGATATTAAGTGTGGAAAGATGCACAAGAACGCCCAAACTTGCAGATAGAACCTGTTTGATGATCTAGCTCCAATGGTTTGATGATCAGAACTTGACTAGAGGAAGATGAAAAAATTTGATAACCAGAAGCAAGTGTAAATTGCTATAATTTGATGAACTTGACCTATGTTTATGAATGTAGTAGCTCAAAAGACCAACTGAGAGGAAAGGAGTCTTCACACCAAGGATCAAACCTATCCCCTCTGTAAGCAGGATTGACAGGGATGGGGGAACTCAGATATTGGCTACCTAAAATGGAAGGGGTTGGGGAGAGGAACAAAGCAGCTGGCTTATAGGTTTTCATGAGGGAGTTTAGTTTCAGTGTGTGCGAGGTAGGGTAGAATCCCCACTGCGTAGTTTTGGAGAAAGGAAATGGGGATAGGATTCATTTGATTCAACAGGAACTGTTATGACTAATTTCAATGGTCACAAGTGTAAAATAGAAGTTGTATAACAAAAAGGGGGGAGTATTTAATCTTACATTCCAGGAACATAGGATCTTAAGAAGATAAAGAGGGAAGAGCTTGAGCAGAACATAGACCCTATTCCAGAGAAGTAGCGACACCAGAGATGGAGGCAGAGATGAGGACATGGAAAGAGAGAGTAGCTGAGGACTCTAAACTCATGGAGAGAGAAGAGCTGGGTGTGGGCAGCCAGAAAGTGAACTTACAGAATGTGACCTTTGGTTGTTTAAACGGCTATGTAATTCCTGCGTGTTTTTGTGTACATCAAAAAACAAAACAAAACAAAACAAAACAAAACAAAAATAGAGGGAATAGAAGCAAATACTGTTAACTGATGATGCATGAAGGGGATTGTAATCATTGTAATGAAACAAAATACGATTGGTTGAATGCAAATCCTATATTCTCCCCTGTAAAGTATCACTCAATTCACAATAAATTTTGAAAAAAAAAAAACTAAGTCTGTTAAGCATAATTTACAACATACCAGTTTAAGCAATGTGCACACATACTTTCCCAATTGCTTCTATTTCTTAACAGCTCTAACCTAAACTCTTGCTTTATTTTTCTCATGGGTTTATTTCATAGTCAAAGAGTTATAATGCCTTTTATCTTTTAATGCCTCTCGAGAAAAGTATGCCTATACACAACAGTTTAAGAGAGCTAAATTATATCAAACACTCTGAAATAGCCACTTCAAAGACAATACATTATTGTTGTTAAGTGCTCCCAAGTCGGTTATGACTCACAGTGACCCAAAGAGCGGCTTGTGAGTTTGAACCACCAACCCTGTAGTTCAAGCTGACCTTGAAGTCGGGGGCTTACCCTATTCCATCACGCCGTAAGGCAAAATTTAGCAGTATCACAACAGCAATACTAGTATCCCCAATTCTCTTAACGAAGTTTTTTATTACTTAAGGTGGTGAGATAAAGATAAAAAATCAAACTAAAATGTGACACTCTCTCCCCCAAGTCTTAAGCATTTTGGGATCACTGCAATCATATGCTACATTTCCATCTGTGGTTATAACGAACTAATTCATCACCACCAAAAGGATATTTCTTTAACAAAACGGAGGCATAGGAAACATTTTAAATGAAAAATTCTTTAAAGTTAATGATAGTGCTTTGAAGTCAAAGACCCTAACACTTTGACTTCAATTTCCCCCTGGTCCTTCTGTGGCATCTAGAAACAACAACAACAAAACACAACTAGAAGGAAAAGCCGTAAGAGAAAATGGAACTGCACTGGTAATTCATACACCTGTACATTTATCCATATTAACAATGACCACTGCTCTTGTTTTTATGTTAAAAAGAACTAAATGGAAGAGACAGACTTACGTTTCTAAATTATCAATATTGCTTACAGCAGCTTTTTCTTAGTAATTACTGTGAAGTTTACCATCAATATGAGGGGGCTCCAAAAAGCTCATGGAAAAATTCGATTACCTCTTCATCCTTCAAGATGTTAGGGAAATTGTCTTCCATAAGATCCTCAACTATGTCCATTGTGGATTTCTTTGAGTCGTCCTCTTCCAGAACGCTAATAATTCTTAAGTTATTCCTCTTCATGTTATCCAGCATGAATCTTAAGGTCCTCTTCAGGCTTTTTTAATCCTTTTTTTCTGCTTGCTCTTCTATCTTAACAGTATTGAGAGACTTGTCTTCCAGCTCGCTGGTTCTGGCTTCCATCTCTTCAACTCTACTCCTTTGCCCTTTCAGTGTATTGTCAATTTCCGATATTTTTTTATTAATCATCTTGGACCTCTTCTTGCAGGTTTTGAATTGTTTCCAATGCTATATCTATCTTATTTGATTGCTCCTGTAGCACTTTCCTGACTTCTTCCTTATTTTCCTTCACCCCTCTGTGAGGCATTTGGATTTGTCTCCATATCATTCCTCTGAATTCCTTCTCAGGCAGATCCAAAGCCTGCTCTTCTTCTAATGGGAAGTTTATGTCTGCCTCCAGCTCATTTGTCTCAGTTACTATTTTCGGTTTTTGGACATGTGCTGATATCTTTTGTTGTTTTTTTCTCGGACATTTTCAATAGTTAGATACGTTTTCAATGATTAAATGAATGTATGCTGCTGTGTTGTTAAGTGTCTTCTGATGGATGTGATCTGGAGATAGGCTTCCCTTTTCATGTGTAATACCTAGCAGCTGTTATTGGCTCTTGTCTTAATGGTGGAATATTATGGGGTATGCTGGTAGCTTGGCTGTATGGCCATGATTGCTGCCTCTTCTCGGGTAACGTAGGGAAAGAAAGCTCCCATCCCCAAGAAAACAGTAAGACCAAAAGGACCAAACACAGAAACAATATAAAAGTAGAGACAAAAACCACCACTCAAAAACAAAAACAAAGCCATAGCTGACTGTCCAGTAGCCTTTGCTGTGCAGGTCAGTATGCATGTACAGTAGAAACCTCTAGCAGTGTTTGGGGGTGTCCACTCGCTGAGGCCCCTCCTCTAGTCACCACCGTGGGGGTGCGCAGATAGATACTGAGAAATGAATGGAAGAAAGATTGTCCACTAGTTTTATCTCTGAAGGTCAGTTAAATATTTGCATAAGCACAGCATACTTCTCAAAATAGCTTCATCCTTGTATATAGTAGTTGGTGTCGGCTCTTGCCTTTTATGTTGGGGTTCTACAAGGTGCACATACGGGGTTTGGCTGTATGGCCAGACCTGATGTCTCTTGTTCGGTAAGACAGGAATACAGGGTCCCACCTAGGTCGACTTTAGGGCTGAGTCCCAGAGTAGGACGTCATAAAAAGCAGCCAAACGATTAGCTTGTGGGACCATTGGGGCTCCTAGGGATTTCTTCCCTGTGCCGTGAGGAAACTATGGGCACAATGCTGGACCCTTTTGGGGACACTCTTCCATCCGCCTGAAGGTGTCCAGGATGGGCAGAGAGAGTGCGACAGGGGAGAAGAGGAAAGAAAAGTGAAAAATCCGTCACACCTCTTTTTCCAGATGCGGAACCGTGGTTTTTAGCGCTGTTATCACTGTATCAGCCAGGCTGTGGCCCTGCCCTCTGATCTAAGCCCAGAACGAGGGATGAGCAGGCAGGTCCCAATTGAGAAATCGCCATGCTTTCCCTCCACAGTCAGATTTCTCCACCGGTGGGTACGGGAAACTGATGCCCCCCACCTTGTATTAGAGCCAATGCTGCGGGGCTGCTCTGGAAAAGCACCTTCTCTGTTTTTTTTTTCCACACCTCCACCAAGGAGCCTCCTCTACCTGTCTCTGCTTCTCCCGCCCCCAAACTGGAAGTCTCCATTACCTTTTAATTCAATTTTCCCACAAACTTTTTGAAGTATCCTTGTTTTTACTCCCACAAGCTAAAATTGATATTAACATTTTGGTGAGCAACATCATTTCTCAAGCCACCTTCTACTGATTTGTTGTTAAGTGCTGTTGAGTCGATTCCGACCCATAGCGACCCTGTAACAGGGTTTCCAAGGCTGTAAATCTGTACCGGAGCAGAAAGCCTCCTATTTCTCCTGTGGAACAGCTGGTAGTTTCGAACTGCTGATCTTGAGGTTCGCAGCTCGATTTGTAACCACTACACTACCAGAGTTCCTTAGACCTTAAGGTTCACAGCCCAATTCGTAACCACTACAAATAGTACTCTACTTAATCAAACCATGTAGACATGCAACATTAAAGTATTTTTAGCTAGTGCCCACAGCTCTTAAGTTGATTCAAACTCATACTGACCCCAGAGGACAGAGTAAAACTGCTCTATAGGGTTTCTGAGGCAGTAATTCCTTACAACAGCAGATTGCCTCATCTTTCTTCCCAGGAGGCTGATGGGTTCGAACCACCAGCCTTTCAGCTATCAGGCTAATGCTTAATCCACTCATCCACCATGGTGTCTAATTTCTAGCATGTTGTAGTTGTTGTGCCTTCAAAGTCAATTCTGAGTCATAGCAGCCCTGTATAGAATTTCAAAGAAGCGGCTGGTGGGTTTGAACCACTGACCTCGTGGTTAGCAGTCTAGTGCTTATCCTACAGTGCCACACCAGAACAATACAATACACATAATGTTTGCTCTCATTTTTTTTTTTAACAAAATACTTACATATGTCTTGTTTAAAACTAAAAGATAGCTAGAAGTTAGCTAAATTAGAAGATAAAAGTCAAAAGCATAGATTAATGCCTGTTTTAAAATAGTTAACTTAATCCTACCCAATCATCACACACTTACATCTCTAGCTCCAACTATTTACCAATTAGTTTTCTCCACCGAGGAGATTAAGTCAAAGCATACTAGAACAAAATATTTTCATCACTGCTTGATTTCATATACTAATTTCAAGAGTATATTTAAATTATAGCTTTGTTTGAAGAATTTTACTGATATCTTTAAGAACAAATCCTAGTGTTATTTGGCACCGAAGGTATTAAACCCATGAAGCCTAAAGTAGTGTTAAGGATTGAATTTTGTTCACACAAAATATGTGTTAGTATCTAAACCCCTAAACCCATGGATCAATCAGTTGAGGTCATAAGTGGACCTTTAACTTCTGAGTTGTACTAACAGTAAAATAGGCACAGAAACAGGCACACACTTACTGGGAAAGACAGAGACCATGTGAAGACCATCTGTAAGGGAAGGAATGAAAAATGCCCAGGGCTAGTGACAAGGCTGACATCAACATGACCAAGACCCTGATCAGGACTTTGGACTTCTAGAACTGTGAGAAAATAAATTTCTGTCCTTTAAAGCAACACACTTGTGATATTTATGCTACAGCTGTACTGTCATTGTTAAGTACCACTGAGTCAGTTCAGACCCATAGTGACCCTGTATAGGAATTCCAAGGAGTGGGTGGTGAGCTTGAACTGCTGACCATGCGGTGGTTCAAGCCAACTTTGCAGTCCAGTGCATTAACTCACAGTGCCACACCAGGGCTAGGCATATAAAATAATTAGAATGAATCTCTAGAGAATGTCTACTCAAAATCTCTCATTTTATAGATGAACAAACTAGAAGTCTACACAGTTTAAATGATGACCAAGTGAGAATATAAGTGATTACAGAAATTGGTCTAGAAAATAAATCTCCTAGGTTCCTTCTATACCATCACACGTCTTCACCAAAAATAAAGATAATTTTAGATGTGCCTAATTCACCAGGATTTGGAATTGTACAGATTTCATCACAATCACAAACTGAAATATCAATTAATTATCTGTGTTGAAATTTTGGAATTTACAGCAGAGTTCAGTTCATACAACATGACACATTGCAAAATTTTTCTTTCAAAACTCTGAATTAACTTCTACCACCAATGAGTTGTGTCTTCAGTGAGTTGAAAGTCATGCTCACATAAATACTGTGCCATATGTTAAGAACAAAAATTAGTCTGATACAATCCAACTGTTTATAATATTGGATTCTAAAAGGAATTTTTAGCCCAGTGTTTATTTCTTCATGGAGAATAAAGTAAAGCTAGCTACATAACAGAGAAACCTACATAACTCCATGGTAAAAGTTCAATAAAATACAACTGCCCTCTAAGATGGCCATTATTTCCAACATTAAAAGTTTCAACCTAAGCTAGTTAGTAGAAAAAGTGAAAGAATGGTGGAAAAGAAGCAGTGTTAAGTATGCTGCAGTAAACTATATAATTTGAATATAAAGAGAAAATTTAATGTCCAAGCAGTGAGTAGAGTTTCCAAATGAAAAGCCATGAAAATTTCTATTTGGTGCAAACAAGAGCCAAGACAGCATGGGCCACAGAGGCCCCTGCAAAGGTTAATATGACACAAATACAAGCAAAGGATAAGTGACCATAGGAATCTTTGTCACCCTTATTTCTAAATAGAGAGGAAGTACAGAGAAATATGAGAAGTGGAAAATTAAAAGGGAAGTAATTATCTCCTTCTCTTCTATGTTGTTAAGTGACTTCGAGTTGATTCCAACTCATAGCGACCCTGCATAGGGTTTCCAAGGAGTGGCTGGTGAATATTAACAGCTGGCCGTGCAGTTCAAACCAACCTTTTAGTCCAGTGCACTAACCCACAGCACCACACCAGGACTCCTTCTTTTCTATAGGAAGCCGTACATTTTTAAAAAATTTCCTAAACATAGTCAACAGAATCCAGTTTTAACCAAAATAAGATTAAATTTCAAAATGTTTTCTTATAAAATACACAAAACCACTGAGGTTAATATAATGTTCCTCTAAATCTCTTTAATACTTACCTCCTCTGGGGTGATAACACCTGTTTCCTTAAACTTTGATTCCTAAAGAAAGAATAAAAGAACAACTGTGTTACATATGTACTTTTTATGTATATTTTTCATTTTAATTAAGGAATATCAGTGGGGCAGGTAACTATTTGTCTGGCAATGAAACAGATATAAAAGCGAGGATAACACTGGAAATCTGACCTCAAGGAACAATGGGGTTTACTGGATGAAACTGACATGAAAATAATTACAATAAAGTACTATCATAGAGCAAAGGAGTCCTGATGACACACTAAATTAAGCATTGGACTGCTAACTAAAAGGGTGCCTGCTTCCGTAAAGATTTACAGCCTCAGCCCTCAGACCTGCAGAGTCATTATGAGTCAGAACCGACTTGATGGCAGTGGGCTAGCTTTGGGTTTATAACAGAGCAAGTTCTTTGGCAAAGCATTCAAAGTTTATACAACCAGGAAGCCTTATAACAATTCTGTGATGATAGTTTTTACTTTACAATACAATGAAAATGTCTTAAAGATGTTTCCACCTATAGGTCAGATGTTTCAATTCTGACTCACAGTGGCCCTGTATAGGGTTGCTGAGACAATAAATTGTTATGGGAGTAAACAACCTTCTCCTTCTCCTTGGGAATGGTTGGTGGGTTTGAACCACCAACTTTTCAGTTAGCAGCCCAACACCTAGCCCACAGTACCACTAGGGATTCTTTAAAGATGTTTGTTGTTGCTACGTGCTGTAAAGTCAGTTCTGACATGAAGTCATCCTACATAGGGTTTCCAAGGAGTGGTGGGTTGGGTTTGAACTGCCAAACTTGTAGTTAGCAGTCCAGTGCTTATCCTATAGGGCCACACGAGGACTCCTTAAAAGATGTTTGTTATTGTTAAGTGATGTAGTAGAGTCAGTTCTAACTCATAGTGACACTGTATAGGGTTTCCAAGACTGTTAATCTTTAAGGCACAGAAAGCCCATCTTTCTCCTGTGGAGCAGCTGATAGATTTGAATTGCTGACTTTGTGGTTAGCAGCTCAACACATAACCCCCTATGTTGCCAGGGCTCTTTTGTTGTTGTTGTTGTTAAGTGCCGTCGAGTCGTGTTCCGACCCATAGAGGCCCTGTATAGTATTTCCAAGAAGCAGCTGGTGAACTTAAACCACAGGCCTCCTGGTTCAAAGCAGACTTTGCAGTCCAGCGCATTAACCAACAGCACCAAACCAGGGCTCCTTAACACACTATAATTCAGCCCATGTCTCATTTCAACTGAACACTATTAGAAACAAAATCTGGAAATCATGTAGCACTTTCCCATTATTCTCATCTCTACCAAGATATTGATACATTATTCTCTCCTCTAAATCACAGATGTTATTTGACTGAAACTGGGGGTTTCCCCCCCTAAATTTTAAGCTATATGTAAGATTTTATGGTAGGGTTTACAAAAACAAAAAGACTGATTTAAGAATAATATCCATTCAACAAATATTTATTGAGTAACAACTATGTATGTGCCAGGCATTGTTTAAGACACTGGGGATGATGATATCACAATGAATAAAACAGATCAAAATCACCCATACCCTCACAAAGAGTTTAAGCTCTGGTGGAGGGAAAAAACAATAAACAAAGAAAAGTATGCCATTAAGAAAAATAAAGTAGAGAAGAATGGGTGGAGGGATGAATATGGCTATTTAAAACAGAATTGTCATTGTTAAAGTTCTGACTCATAACGACCCTATAGAGTGTTTCCAAGGAGCAGTTGGTGGGTTTGAACCGCTGACCTTTAGATGAGCACGTCAGTGCTTATTCTACAGAGTCCTGGTGTGGCACTCTGAGTTAATTCACTGGACTGTAAGGTAAGTTTGAACTGCAAGACTTCACTGACAAGGTGACATTTGAAAAGAGACCTTAAGAAGAGGAGCAAGCCTAAGAATGTCTGTCTGACAGTAACAAAGAGGAAGGAGGTCAGCCTGATTTAAGCAAGAATGAGCAAGGTATAGGATATATTGGGGGGCGAGGGGGCAGAGCTGCAAGAGCTTTGGAACCTAATCAAAGGCACTTAACAACATGTTATTTAAAGAGTCCTGATGTGGTGCTCTAAGCTAAGCACTGGACTTCTAACCACAAGGTCGGCAGTTCAAATCCACCTGTTGTTTCTCGAAACTCTACACAGGATGAATAAGCATTAGAACCCACTTAATGGCACTTAACATTTCCAAAGATATTTTCACTCCACATTAAGATTTGTAAAGTTTTAGTTAAAAGCTGGAAATTTCAAAATTAAACAAAGAATTTGTCATTTATTTCTATTGCTTGCTTTTCAGAAATGAAAAATAAACTTACCAAACTAAAGAACACATCTTAGTCTGAAAGTTATAAAAAGGCTTGAATGCGTTTCTAGAAATTTACTTTTGAAAATAGCAAAAAAAACCAACAACAACAAAAAAACTTTCATTGTAGCTAATGTGTCATAATTTTTACTTGAAAAAGTACTGTATTATTACCAAAATAAGTATATATAATATATAGCAGTGTCAAACCACTAATTAAAATCTCTTCAGTTCAAGGTTTACAACTATTAAATATTATTTTAAAACGCTTGGGAGAGGCGGGATTTTGCTCCTTAACTAAAGATACTAAAATAAATAATGTTGCAAATTTCACCTTGTTCCTCTAAAACTTTAAACAAGTTGGGACGTCAGTCACAACTTAACTATTTCATATTTATGACTATAAAACGGTTTCCATGAAACTTTAAAAAAGTGACATATGGCACTTTAGAATCAAGCAGATTTCATTTGTTAAAAAGCTAATCAAAATCCTCGTTTAGAACTTCACATGATTTCACGTTCTTACATCTTTTTAATTGCATGCAGACCACCTTCCAACCAGACATACCTAAAGACACAGAATGCTGGCGGGTGGAGACAGACGCACGAACACAGCGTCGCTACAAGTTTACCCCTTAGGAATCAGAAAGCCCTAAAGAACCGCTGGTTAGACCATGGCTGGGGAGTGCACCTTTTTATGTGTTTCACCCCTACTACCTCCAAAACCTCTGCTGGAGGGGGAGAGCACGGTGACCCCTCTGGCACCGGATCCAGGGTCCTCGCAGACCTGAGCGTGTGCCTGACAGCTCCTGGAAAGCTAGTCCCGGCTTACCTTGAGGACGGGGGTCAGGTACTCAGCCACTTCCAGTGCCTTTCCCTTCACCGTATTAATCACATTCTGCATCCTGGGGCCGGAGTAGCGGCCGGCCCCGCGAAGGGGTGGGGAAAGCAGCCGGGGTATCCGGGACACAGACCGGATGGTGAGAATATGTCTCCGCGGCTACCGCCTGGAATCGGCACCTAGTCGCAGTCACTCGAGGGACGCGACGCGACGGGACGGACCGGACGAGGGGGAGGGGCGGCCGAAGCCGCAAGCGAATGCAAGACGCTCACTCTTCGCGCACAAGGCAGTGCACTGCGGACCGGGCCCAGCTGTCACCTGCCAGCAAGGGAGAGCTGGCGGGAGAAGCGGGCGCACGCGTACCCCTTGCCCGCTCGAGAGCTGTCTTCTCCCCGCTTTTGCTTCACTCGTGCTCCTTCCGGCTTTCCATTCTCTAGCTCACTCTCTCGCCGTAGCTCCACCGCCACCTGGGCCTCACATGACCTAGGACACTCTCCACACGTGACGCGAGACAGGCCTCGCTGGGCGGGATCAGTTAGCCTCCCCCCTCCCTCCGGTAAGCGTAACATTGAGTGCGCCTGCGCAAAGGGCTCTCCTTTCGCTTCTTCCTAACCGGGTTGTAATCTGGCTTTCTGTTCCGGAATAGTGACTTGGGGGAAGAGGTTTTTTTCGTTTCTCTCCCTGCCAAAGCTTCGCCTATGGATCCTAAAACCTACTTCAGCTACTACGGTGCTAGTCAGTTACTTTCCCTGCTATAGGATGTGAGCTCTTCCACTACAAGCTCCTCTATGGGACCGAGGTAACCGCGCCCCGCGGGCAAAGAACTACGCGTGCGTGTGAGGGGAGGGCGCGCCAGAAGATATTACTTACTGCGCATGTGTGACACGAAGGGCTTTCCTGACCGGTAGGGAAACCTGCCCTCTTCGTGCAGACAGCCTTCTCATTGGTGGTCTGTAGGCTCCCACTTAGTTAGAATGTCAAAGCTGACATTTTAAGCCCATCACTCACCTATCTCCATATTGGTGGTTTGGACCATTCCTGCCAATACATTCGGAGTTCTTGGGCAAGTTACTTAACCTGCCTGGGTTTTAGTGCCCTCAACATATCAAAAAAGGGTGTCAGATTTACTGATTTTTGAAATATCTTCTATTTCTACCACTGGTTCAGTGAAAATGCAAGTCATTCAAATATCTTCCCAATAAGCTCTTTTTCCACCTTTAGAAGAGTTGCTACTAAGGAAAGAGTACATACCTGAATTTTTCTACTAGAACAAACTTCGGCTGTTCAAACCCACCAGCCACTCATCCGAAACCCTAAACAGGGTCGCTATGAGTCGCGACCTACTCGATGGCACTGAATAACAAAGGACAAAGTTACCAATAAGAATGAAAAAGAATTCCAGATTGTTGGAATAAGGAGCACAAATGCTAACAATTTAGTAATCAGCGTCTCAAGTACATAATAGAATTGATTGAAAAGGAATAATGAGGCAATCGCAAAGTAGTGCCCATGCTAAAAGAAGTGATATTACTTAAGAATCAGCTATTCCCCATTCAGAATTTACTTACCCTCAGATATAGCAGCAGCTGTCAGGAGCTCATGAAGGTGTACATGCGCCATTGTTCCTAGGTTCCATTGAGTGTGTTACGACTCATAGATACCCTATATACACTGTCCGAAGAGGGGCTGGTGAGTCTGAACCGCATTAACCCTTAGCGCCACACCAGGACTCCACGTGCGCCATTACAGGAGAAATATATGTGGAAATTTTCAACACGTATTTAAATTTAGGTCATTCTTTGTCCCTGCTATTGCCTAGTTCTCAGATTTTAGAGTGCTAATTAGGTGGCTAGATTAGAGCAGGAAATGAAATGGTCCTAATTGAAGGCTTTAAATCACAGAGCTGGCCATTGCCGGAATACATTGATGTTTGAAGAGACTCAAAGTGACTTGTAGATAACCTGCTCCTTGCCAGTTCCTTTAGGGCCAAATTAGTAAGCCCGTTTCTGTCAAGTATTTCCTGATTTATGTTTACAGTAGGACTGTACGGGATTTTCAATAGCTGATTTTTCAGAAGTAGGTAATTGACCTTTTCCCAAGTTGCATCTAGGTGGACTCTCAAATTCCTTGGTTAGCAGTCAAGCATATTTACCTATTTAATGTAAAGAAAACAAAACTCCTCACCACTGGAGTAACATTTTTATCAACAGAGAAAAGATTGAAGTTGTCAAAGACTTCTTTCTTCTTGATTCAGCCATCAGCACTCATGGAAGCAGCAGTCAAGAAATCAAATGACGTATTGCATTAGGCAAATCTGCACAAGACCTTTTTAAAGTGTTTAAGAGCAAAGATGTCAACTTGAGGACTAAGGTACGCCTGACCCAAATCATGGAATTTTCAATAATATCATATGCATGCGAAAGCTGGACAGTGAATAAGGAAGACCGTAGAAGGATTGATGCTTTTGAGTTATGGTGTTGGAGGAGAATATTGAAAGTACCATGGGTTGCCAAAAGAACAAGCAGATCTGTGTTGGAAGAAGTGCAGCCATAGTGCTCCTTGGAGGCCAGGATGGCCAAACTTCACCTCTCATACTTCGGACGTGTCAGGAGGGACCAGTCGCTGGAGAAGAATATCATGTTTGGTAAGGTGGAGGGTCAGAGAAAAACAGGAAGACCCCCCATCAAGATGGATTGACTGGTGGATTCAAACTGCAGACTTATGGTTAACAGCCCAACATGTAATCCACTATGCCAGGGCTAACACCAAGTTGTGATAACCAAAAATGTCTCCAGACATTTTGTTGTTGTTGCTGTTGCAATACCTTTATTTGAAGGCTTCATCAAAATACACTGCCTTTCATCAAGTATTTGGAGAAGAGGGAGGTGGAGAAGGAGAAGAGACATGGAAAAAAGCCCACTGGTCAGCTCCACAAGCACTTGTTCAGCAGAATTATGTTTACACTTGTTTAAGGTCTCCTGAGGACAAAATCACCCCCAGTTGAAAACTGCTGTTCTAGTAATTAGCACTTGGTGAGTCCTGGTGTGGCGCTGTGGGTTAATGCGCCAGACTGCAAAGCTGTTTGAACTACAAGGTTGGTGGTTCAAGCTCACCAGTCACTCCTTGGAAACCTTATACAGGGTTGCTATGGGTTGGAACCGACTCTATGGCACTTAGCAACAACAACATGCCCTTGGTGGTGGTGGTCGTTATGTGCTGCGGACTTGGTTCCAAATCATAGTGGCCCTGTATAGGGTTTCCAATGTTCTAAATCTTTTTGGGAACAAAAAACCTCTCTTTATCCTGTGGAGCAGCTGGTAGATTTGAACTGCTGACCTTGTGATTAGCAACCTAGCTCAGAATGTATAAAAGTTTGTTTTCTATAGTTGCCTTTTTCTTCCAGTGGCCCTGAAGTGTCAGCTACTCACTTGTTACCTTTGTCAGCAGTTCTGATCTGGCCCTACTTTTTTCTGTCTCTCGAATTCTCCTTCCTATCTGATTTTCTTTATTCCATCTCCTTTCCATGTAGTATCTCTTGTATTTCTTCACTCTGCTCTGATATAGTAATAGCCAGACATGTAAAGACTTCCTTTCCTGTTCATAAATCACTGATATTTAATATAGCATTATGCTTACTGTTTAAATCTCCCAGAAGATCTTCCCTAAAATTTTTGCTTATTACAATATTTGTTTTCTTTTTGAATATTTGTTCATCAAAATTTTCTTCTTTTCAAGACAATTAAAAACCAGCAGAATGGAAAACAAATGCTGTGGTCATCGTGTTCTCTGCTCATTGTCAAAAATATATACATTCCTTCTGGGAGCCATCTTCATTGCTTTAAGCTCAAGTCGCATCCTATTGGTGAAATACTCAGCCAATGAAGGTAAGTTAAGACTTGGAAAATGTATGAACACTTCCATTTCATAACTCATTTTGCTTCTGTCTTTAGTGTCCTTGTGTTTAAAATAGAGTGATAGTATCCTGCCAAGTATTGAGAAAGCATATGAAAATTTTAATATCTAGGCCTTTCATTCCTTAAGCAGAAAACATTTGAGGATGGGATGAAATGTGGGCCAGTTAACGACATAATTGTAATCTCTTGGTACAAATCAGATCATTGCATATGAATATTACTTCAATCAACAGGTGTTTCTGGGCCTATAAAAATATATACAATTAATGCTTTTTCTGAAATAAACAGGGTATATATATTTGGATATTTGGTATTTGTATATATCAGTAGTTTATCAGTGTCCTGGTGTGGTAGTAGAATAAGCTAGCTAGTGCTAACTGCAAAGTTGGCAGATCAAAACTATCAGCCACTCCTCAGACACCCTATACTGGGTCATCATGATTAGGAACTGAATCTACAGAGCTTACCAACAACCAACCATTTCAATGTCCTCTTCCAATGTCCCATGTGTATCTAAGTCTATTTCAGTTAACATTTATCTGCCAAGCACTGGTATTAATATGACAGTAGGGTTCAAAGTACTTACGACAAGGACTTTGCCCTCAAAACGTCATTTTCTTGAAGGAAACATTCATGTAAACATACCATAAAAATGTAACCAGAGCAGTAATGGAAGTAGACCGAAAACCAAAACTGTTGCCATTGAGTTCGTTTTGACCCATAGTGATCCTATAGAACAGAGTAGGTCTGCCCCCCCACTGGCAGCAGTAATAGTCTCAAACGTAGCAGCACTTGGGAGGTTGGCTCAGGACGGAGTTGTGTCTTTCCGTTGTGTTTGGGGTCACTATGAGTTGATACTGACTTGATGGCCCCTAACAACAGCAGAGTTGCCCCAAGGGTTTCCGTGACTGATCTTTACTACACTTTTGGGGTCATTAACATTGGGTTTATTTTTTTAAATTCTTGAGTGGTGGTGATCGTTAAATACATTCAAGTTGGTTCCAGCTCATAGCCGTCCTGTATAGGTTTTGTGCACAGCTGCTGCTAAGCTTGAAGTACTGACCTTACAGTCTAGCACATTAACCTGCAGCTCCACATCAGACTCCAAATCCTTTTCAGGGGAGGGTGTATAGAGAGTAAGCACATAGAATGAGAAAATATGAGCCAAGGATATACCCAAGGAATGCCAACCATGGGAACTGACTGAAGGGTGATAGGTTTTGTTTTGTTTTTGTTATGAAGGACAGTAAGGAAAAATTGTTAAGAGTAAACTAAATGCGTGTAGACTTGGAGAATCAAGGAAGGAGTTAAAAACTGAAAGAGAACTGCAAGGTCAAGATAAGATAAGAATTAAAGCTTGCTCTTGGGAATTAGTCATTAGAAGGTGTTTGCTGCAGTGATGGGATTAGAAACCAGATTAGAGTCTAGAGTCTTGGGCTGTAGGATTAGCATTAGACTACTAACCACAAGGTTGGTGGTTCAAGCCCACCAGCTGCTCCTTGAAAACCCTATACATGGTCGCTATGAGTAAAACTGACTCCACAGCACTTAACAACAGCCAACCTAATTGTTAGAATCCTGGTGTGGCTCTGTAAGATATGCACTGGACCACAAGGTCGATTTGAACTGTAAAGTTGGTTGTTCAAATCCACCAATCATTCCTTGGAAACCCTATAGAGGGTCACTGTGAGTCACAACTGACTCAATGGCACTAAACAACAACAGCCTAAAGATGAGCAGTATTAACTACTCAGTAGCTCCATGGGAAAAAGGCCAGGTAATCTGCTTCTGTAAAGATTACAGCCGGAAAAACCTTATGAAGCAATTCTACTGTGTAACACAGAGTGTCACCAGGAGTCATAACCAACTCAATAGCAACAGATGTTGTTGTTAAGTACCGTGGAGTTGGTTCCGACTCATAGTGACCCTGCACAGGAGGTCTTCACAGGAGCTTTCAGAAAGCCTCATCTTTCTCTCACGGAGCAGCTGGTAGTTTCAAGCTTCTAGAAGCCCGCTTCATAACCACTATGCTACCAGAGCTCCTTATAGCAACAGATAGCAGAGCTTTAAAAACAGTGTTTGAAGGCTACCAAAGTTAGGAATGTGTCCCCTCTCTTAATAAATCATGCTTAATTCTTATAGCAGATGCATGGCTGTCAAAAATTTGCCCCTCGACTCACCTGCAGTCATAAGACTTTTTGAAATTTAAATTAGGAGAGCCTAGAGTCTTTTCCATGATATCAGGAGGTAATGGTTTGTTGAAGATCCTTTTCTAGCTGGAAAGACAAACTTACATTGCTGTAGATCAGCTATGTCAGGCTTAGTCCAGACTGGGTTAGGCTTTTTATGGTAATATTTGATTCTGGATAAAGAAAACTGTAAAATCAACAAAAGATGTTTGTTATTAATTTTCTTGTTCAAAATGATAGTAATGAGTACAAAGTATTACTGAAACTGTATTACTGATCGTTGTAAAAGGTACTACTCAGACTGTGTTATTTAAGTCTAACTTTGACCTTAGGAAAGGGAGGAGATGTATTAAAGAGGCTTTGAACTCTGGAGAAAATTTACCATATAAAAAGTTCATTAAATATTTACATTTCATACGAACATTTTTTTAAGTACCCATTCTGTAGGAAGGAGCTTTGGTAGTGTAATGGTTACAAGTCTGGCTGCTCACCTCAAGGTCAGCAGTTCGAAACTACCAACTGTTCCATAGGAAAAAGATGAGGCTTTCTACTCCCATAAACGTTTATAGCCTTGGGAAGCTTATACAGGGTCGCTGTGAGTCGGAACCCACTCTGTTGCACATAGCCACCACCATTCTGCATGAGGCACTGGTAAGTGCCACATATCTGAAGGTGACTAACATGGTCCCTCTTTGATAACCTCAAAACCCACTGCTTTTAAGTCCGACTCCGAGCGAGCCTGTCACACAGAGCACTCCCATACTGTTGGCAAGGCTGTGACTCTACAGAAGCAGATTCCCACATCCTCTTCTCAGGAGTAGCTGCTGTATCCAGATCTTGGACCTTTCATGTATCCAAGGGTGCTTTCCTTTCTCATAAGGATTTTACATTCTAGGGACAAGACGGACATATTAAAAATGACTACAGAGCTTTGCAGGTAGTTAGTGTTTAATGTTTACAGGAACAAGGACAAATAAAGAACTGTGCCATCTCAGGTTCAGGAGGTCAGGGGAAACCACAGCAAAGAGGAAGAAAGAGTGTTCTGGAGAGGGAAAATGTCAGGTTGTCTACACCTCCCTCCCCCCCCCCCCCCCCCATGTTTTGCTAGTTTTGTTATTTGTAAGAAAATATTTTCAGAAGACGGAAAGTGCATTCCTGAACATTGGGCCTAATAAACTTTATTCCTGTCCTTGGCAAAATTATAAACTAAGTTGTTTGTAAGTATTTAGGAAAAACAGGTAACAGCTAAAACCAAGCTATGCTAACTAAACCTCATTTCCTAATTAGATTGATTTGTAAGTTAGGACATAGCTTCCCAAATGGTGAAGGCATTTGGAGGTGTCAGCGTATTTCCTCAGCCCTACGGGTAGGCAGAGCCCTGGGCCAGATACCTCTTGCCTAAAGTATCTTCCTTTTTAAAAATTTTTTTAACCACAGTGTATCTTTTATCCTGGAGTGCCAAAAGAACTTGGCATTTTTGGAATGTGTCATAATATGAAATGAATTGGAAAACTCTGAGTTAATAAAATACAATAACCTGAGTATATCTTGAGTTTAACAAGATAAATAAATCACACAAGTAGAACCGTGAGCTGGGTAATAATTCATCAGATATATTCATACTGGTTGATGAGCCAGATCCAGAGAATGTTGATTAATGGTCAGTTTGGAAAGCAGTGTCTAATGCCATGCCACTTAGCTTTCTTTGCCCCTGACCCTGGCCAACTCAACTTACTTCACAGTAACTTGGCTGAAATATGAGAGGCATGTTGATCAAATTCAACGATATAAGAAAGCCCCATGGGGTATGAATAGCTAATTTGTTGTTGTTGTTGTTGTTAAGTGCTGTTGAGTCGATTGTAAACCATAGTGACCCTGTATAGAGTTTCTGAGGAACAGCTGGTGAGCTGGATCTGCCATTTTGTAGTCCAAATGGCTTTGCAGTCTGGTGCATTAACCCACAGCTCCACTCCAGCTAATACATTAGGTGAACTGATTTCAGAATTCAAAAGAATAAAACCAACTGGATATGATTTTGTTTAATTACTATTTAAATTCAACTTTTAATTTTAAAAAAGAATTGCAAATTGTTTACAGTATAAGCATTACATAGTAAGGTTTATAGTTAAAATATAATCATTTCTATTACATTTCAGAGAACAAGTATGATTATCTTCCAACTACTGTGAATGTTTGCTCAGAACTGGTAAAGCTTGTTTTATGTGTGCTTGTGTCATTCTGGGTTATAAAGAAAGGTGAGTCTTAAAATGATATTATGTATCTGTTAAAAAAATAACAAAATCTAAATATTCTAGAGCTGAAAGGAATTTAGTTAAGCCTGTTAATTTTTCATATGAGGAAGTGAAGATGCAAACAGGATATTATATTAATAATACTTTAAAGAAAAAAGAAAAAACCCCACTGCTATTGAGTTTATTCCAACTCATAGCAACCTGAGACAGGGTTTCCAGAACTATAAATATTTATGGGAGCAGAGAGCCTCCCCCTATGATGCAAAGCTACTGGTGGGTTTGCATCATATTTAATTACAGAGTAGCAACAACAACTACTTAATGGGTCACAGCAAGTTAGTTCTTATTCCAAATCAGGGTCTTCTAAATCATTGTGTTATCCCATGTGTGAATTGACACACTGAAATGTAACAGTTCCCATGTCCTTCAGGCAGGCAGCCTAGTACACTGTTCTGGAACAGATGATTTAACTTTTCTTAGCTTCAGTTTCCTCAAATAACAAACAGGAATACTAATCCCTTCCTCAAAGGATTAGCTAATATTTGTAAAGTATTGAGTATTTTGTGGCATCTCTAGGCTCCTACCAGCACTCCAAATTGCCACTGAGTTTATTCTGACTTGTGACAGTCCTGTGTGTGTCAGAGTGCTGATTTATTGGAAGTGCATCACCAGGCCTTTTGTTTGAGGAACCTGCAGTGACTGTAAACCTCTGATCTTCCAGTGACCTGCTGACCATGTTAACCATTTGCACCAGCAGGAATTCTGCTTCACCAGTTCCCCCAGTATTGAGGCTTTGCTCTCTTGCTTTGATCTGCCTTTCCACATGAGGTAATCATAAATTTAGATAATAAACCTTGCCCAGGAAGATGTCTTTTCACATTCAAGGGTTGTAATCTGTATAAAATTTCTAATTCATGGAATACATTTCTTAAGTCCATGTAATTCATACGTTGTTGGCAGGGTTTACACTAAAGCTGCCTTTATTTTCCATCCTTTCATATCATATTCTGTCTGTTATAGTACCTTCCTAGCAGTTTTCTTTCGTAAATAGGGAGTTAGGATAGTAACTCAGACTAGAATTAGTAAAAGCTTGTTGTCTATAGTTCCATGTATATCAATTTTCACTAGTGGGTCTCCCTTTCCTCTGCTCCCCAGGTATGGAGTGGGTAGGTAGAAACATGAAGACTTGATTTTTTTGTATTTATTTTAACTTGTTCTTCTTGGCCTTCTCTCTATTTGTGTGTTCTCAACCTTTGGGAAATATGATTTTCCATACTTAGAGAAATCATATGTACAAGGCTAAGTCAAACGGTATTGCTACAGAATACTTTCGGAAAACTTTTATCCCTCCAAATGTGAAGCTATTAATCTGTTTCCGATGGCAGTTCTGGGGAAAGGGTGACAGGTGCCTTGTCCAGCTGTGAAGATGGCAAAAAAAAAAAAAAAAAAAGCCTCTGAACAACCCAAGAAGCAGACCAGGAAAATGGAAGAGGAAGATAGAAGAAACTCAAGGAGCTACAAGTGAAGGCTATGGGGAAGAACCTCCTGGCCATAGTTGGACTTAAGAAAACTATAGAAAAATAAGCTGTTCTTTTTGACTGAGGTGGTGGTGATTCTTGATTCAATCCTATTTAAGCATCAGGGTGCCTGCCATAACATGTGCTGCCACCTGTAGTTAGAATGAAGTGTTGTCTTGGAGCCTGTTACACGTTTAAGAATAAACTTTTGTAAAAAAAGAAAAAGAGGGGGGAAAATTGAGACTATTGATTCTCTACATATTCTTCATGTAGGTTTCTGTGTTTCTAAAGGTGGTGTTTCCAGCTCTCTAACCCTTCACTTGACTGCTAGCTGCAAGATTAGCTATGTCAAAACGGACTCAACGACACTTCAACAAGCCTCTGTGCTCAGATTGAAGCCATGTCAAAATGGCAGCTATGGCATCCTTGAGAGACTCCAATTGTATTCCTTATAAATTTTCTTTAAATCTCTGAAAGAAAACCAAATCTGAAGGGGCAAGATTCGGGCTGTGGGGTGAATGGGGTTAAGGTTTCCCGATAAAACTCACATAGGAAAACCCTTGCTACCCTTGAAGAATGAGAAGAATTGTGCGATGGGAAAAAATTATTTAGTGCAACTTTCCTGGCCTTTTTCTCTCCAATGCAGTTTTCTTCAGATTTCTTCCTATTAAGTCCTGGTGGTGGTGTCCTGTGTCCTTCAAGAAAATCTGTCAAGGTTACTCCCTTTGTAATCACCAAAAAGCATTTGCTATAACCTGAGCTGACATGTCTGCCTTGGATTTAATTGACCCAGCAGATCCCCTGTGAAGCCACTGTTTTGATTGACCTTTGTTCTTGAAGGCACCCTAAGGAGACTACTGTAAGAGTGTATCTGTACAGACCTGTTTTAACACATTTTGTATAGCATAAACTCGTATATGTATGAACTGGAATCCTAGTAGCAGTGCTTTTTGACTCATCCTTGTATGTCCTGAGTCATCATAAGTGTTACTTCCATCTCAAGTTAAAAGGAATTAGGAGTATCAGTATTCAATCATGTTGCTGATTGTTCATGATGAAGTCAGGAGGGGAAAAGAAAGAGACAGTAATACAATCTTGGATAGCCTTTGATTTCTTAATGCTAATAGTCACTTATGGAGGCAAGTTTATAAAGCCCCTTTCAAAGATTTATACCAGTAATCAAATGCAATTTACTTTCTCTAAAATGTGCATTCTCATCAAGACTGTTTACTTATTGCTGTTTCTTTTTTTATAGAAGATCATCAAAGTAAAAACTTAAGATGTACTTCCTGGAAGGCGTTCTCCAACTTCATGAAGTGGTCCATTCCTGCCTTTCTTTATTTCCTGGATAACTTGATTGTTTTCTATGTCCTATCCTATCTTCAGCCTGTAAGTAAATATAGCAAAGAAAATAACATTGAAACAACATGGAGAAAATAATTCCATTTTTACGGGCATTCTTCATTTTTCATTGGCCTCATTGGCCTTCCTGAGGTTTTCCCAGAATCATCTGAATGCTGAATTGCCAGTCTGCTTGCCAGATTCGCTCGCTGTCAAACATTACTGTATTAAACTGTGTTGACTGCTCTGGGGGATTTGCTCTATTGGCCAAGGGGTCAGAGCCACCTCTCTGTAACCTTCACCAGTTTCCCTATTGTCTGAGCCTCCTGTGGTTGTCCAGCCTTTAACATTGACTTCAGCATCTAGGACTTCCAACCAAATTTTCATGATTAACTCAGCAATTTATGTATTCTGGGAACCTCTCTCTTACTATTGTTTTACTTATTTTTAAAAGTTCTGTAGTAAGACTTTTTTAAAACTTGGGTAAAGGTTTACAGTACAACTTAATTTTCCATTCAATTCATACACATTTAGTTTCATGTCATTGATTGCAGTTCCCACAATGTAAAATCACTTATCCCACTTCCTGCCTGTGTTCATTATACCTTCTTTCCTAACCCTTCTGAATTTGTTGTCTTTAACCTTGTTTCAATGTATTCTGTTTGTACAAGGGTAAGTCAAGTATTGCTACAAGGATTCCAGTTCATACATGCACAAGGTTATTCAAAACAGAACATGTTTATGTTTCTGTCATCAGTGGATGGCTGCAGACAAAATCTCAGTTATATACTCTTGTCTTCATTTCCTTTAAAAAAAAAAATTATATCGAAACAGTGGCTTCCTAGGGTATTTACTGGGTCAGTTAAATTTAAGGTAGATAGGTCAGCTCAGAAGGTCATGGTGCCTGTTTTTTGGATTACAAAAGGGTAATCTTGACAGATTGTTCTCAAAGGACACAGGACTGTTATGGGGGCTTATTAGGAAAAAGCTTTAAGAAAATTGAAAACTGCATTGATGAGAAAAAGACCAGGAAACTTGTTTGAAGGATTTTTTTCCTTCCATCTCAAAAATGTACTTGCTCATTCTTCAAGTGTAGCAAGGGCTATCCTATGAGAATTTCATTGGGAAATCTTACCCTATTTACCCTGTAGCACTGATCTTGCCCCATAAGACTTCTGTTTGCCTTCAACATCAAAGATACTGAAAGGAACATAAGTGAGTCCCTTCAGGATACCAAAGCTGTTGTTTTTTGTTTGGTGTAAATTGAAGAGTTCAGAATTCTTCAGGGAAGAGTGGTTGTTGCAGTTAGGGGTCCTCAAGTCAGTTCTGACTAAGAGCAAACCTATGCCCAACAGAATGAAACACTGTCCAACCTTGCATCTAAGAAGCATTCTGACTGTTGTTCTTCCAAGACAAATGTGTTTGTTCTTCTGGCAGTCAGTGGTACTTTGAATCTTCTTCTGCAACACCATAATATAAGTTCATAAATTCTTCTGCAGTCTTCTTATTCATTTTCCAACTTTCACATGCAATTGAAAATACCATTGTTTGAGTCAGGTTCACCTTAGTCCTAAAAGTGACATTTTTGCTTGTGAAGGCTTTATAGAGGTCTTTTGCAGAAAATTTGCCCAGTGCAATACATCCTTTGATGTAATTGACTTCCATGCACCTTGATTGTGGATCTAAGTAAAGTGAAATCCTTGACAATTTCTCTTTTCTCCATTTATATGATGTTTTTCATTGATCCAGATATAAGAATTTTTGTTTTCTTTATCTTGGGGTGTAAGCCATACTGAAGGCTGTAGTCTTCAGTCTTCAGTCTTCATCAGTATTTCAAGTCTTTTCTTTCAGCAGTCAAGATTGTGTCATCTGCATATCTCAAGTTAATGAGTCTTCCTCCAATCTTGATGCTACGCTCTGTCATATGATCCAGCTTCCATGATTATTTGCTCAGCATACAAATTGAATAAGTGCAATGAAAGAATACAACCCTGGTACAGCCTCTTCTGATTTTAAACCTTTCTGTAACCCTTTGTTCAGTTTTAAGGACTGCATCTTTGTCTAGGTACAGGTTCCTCATGAGTTCAGTGAAGTGTTTTGGGACTTTCCTTTTTCAAAGTCTATGTTTATTCATAGTGATCCACACAGTTGAATGCTTTTGCACAGTTAGTAAAACACAAGTGAACTTTATTCTGATAATTCTCTGCTTTCAGCTGAGATCCATCCATCGTGAGCAATGATATCTCTCATTCCAAGCCCTCTTTTATATCTGCCTTGAATTTCTGGCAGCTCCCTGTTGATATACTACTGAAATGGTTTTTTTAATTATCTTCAGCAAAACTTTACTTGCATGTGATATTAATGATATTGCTTAATGATTTTTGCATTTAGTTCAGTCACCTCTATTTGGCACAATAGGCACAAATATGAATCTCTTCAATTGGTTGTTGAAGTAGCTGCCTTCCAAATTCCGTGGCATAGACAAGTGAGCACCTCTAATGCTGCATCAGTTTGTTGAGACATTGCAGTTTGTTTTCTGTCAATTCCTTGAGCCTTGATTTTTGCCAATGAATGCAATGCAATTTGGACTTCTTACTTCAATACCATCAGGTTTTTATTTTAGAGAAGAAAATATAGTTTATGCCATTCAGTAACAAGAATTTGAAAGCATATTAAGTTCAGAATTATTTTTTGAATTACAAAGACACATAGTTTCAAATTTATCTACTGAATAAGAAACATACATGCAGTTTTTCCCATCCATTATTAGGAAGCACAAGAGTTTAACAAATTTTCAGTATACTGTTTGAATTATAAGGATGGAAGAGTTCACAATATATGTGTGACTGAGAAAAAATACACCCATGAGCAGGAATTGTTGAGACTTTCACATATTTTCAATATAGTCTTTGTATTACCAGCTTGAGAATATTTCTAGCGCCATGTTTTAAGAAAACATTTCTAACGCAATGATGAGAAAACAGTATGTGTAGCTTTTACTCATGCATGGGAATTCTCAACTGTCAGTGTACTCAGTTTTTAGGACAGGAAAGTTCTCAACCTTTTCAGTGCCCAGTTTCACAGAGAAATTAGGTATATTCATTTTCTCATTCACACATCTGTTGGGATTTTTCTTGCTATTGGAAGCCTACAAAATTTTTTATAGTTCCTGTCCATAAATTGATGGAATTTTATATATGTATTTCTTTTTCTTTTGAAAATTTTTATTGTGAATTGAGTGACGGTTTACAGAAGAGATCTTCAGTTTCACATCCAACAAATGTCATACTTTGTTTCATCTCAATGATTATAATCCCCTCCATAAAACAACAGTTAGCCCACTTCCTCCCTGTGGTTCCTTTTTCTGTTCCTCCCTCTTTCCCATACCCTTAAACCATACCCCAAGTAAATGTTGCCCTTCTGATTTTGAATGGCCTACCATTCCATGGTGAACATATATGTCACTAGTGTTACATAGGTTCTTGGTTACACATTACCTCTTGAAATGACTGAACATTGTCCAATTCTTTTTGGTACATAGACTCTCTATTCCTTCCCTCTTTCTAAGATGCTTCCTGTGTCATTCAATATTTTGCCCATAGAATCCTTCAGTATTGCAAGTCAAGGCCTTAATTTTTTCTTCAATTGTTTCAGCTTGAGAAATACTAAGTGTTTTCTTCCCATTTGGTTTTCTAACTCCAGATTTTTTAAAATTTCATTATAATACTTTGTCTTCTCAAGCTGCCCTTATAAGTTTCCTGTTTTACTTCGTTATATTTTCCAGTTGCTTTATCTTCTCTACGTTCAAGAACAAGTTTCAGTCTCTTCTGACATCTTTTTTGTCCTTTATTTCCTGCCTTTTTAATGGCCTTTTGCTTTCTTCATATATGTTCTTTATGTTGTCATACAACTCCTCTAGTCTTCAGTCATTAGTGCCAAATGCATCAAATCTGTTCTTGAGATGGTCTGTAAATTTTGATGTGATAATTCAACATCATCTTTAGGCTCTTGTGACCTTGTTTTAATTTCCTTCAGCTTCAGCCAGCAGTTGCAAATAAGCAATTGATGATCCTTCCACAGTTGGCCTAGGGCCGTCTCCATTTGTATGAATGTTATCTATCGGTCCAGTGGTGAGGACTTTTTGTTTTCTTTATATTGAGGTGCAACCCATACCAAAGGCTTTGGTCTTTGGTCTTCATCAGTAAGTATTTTAAGTCCTTTTCACTTTCAGCGAGCAAGGTTGCATCATCTCCATATCGCAGATTGTTTATAAGTCTTCCTCCAATCCTGATGCCACCTTTTTCTTCTAATAATCCAGTTTCTCGGATTCTTTTTTCAGCATACAGATTGCATAAGTATGGTGAAAGAATACAACCCTGGCAAATATCTTTCCTAATTTTAAACCATTTAGAGTTCCCTTGTTCTGTTCAAACAGCTGCCTCTTGGTCTATGTACAAGTTCCTCAGTAGCACAATTAAATGTTCTGGAATACTTGTTCTCTGCAGCATTGTTCATAGTTTTGTTATGATCAACAAAATTGAAAGCCTTTGTGTAGTCTGGAAAGCGCAGATAAACATTTTTCTGGTATTGTCTGCTTTTGGCTAAGATCCATCTGATGTCAGCAATGATATCCCTCATTCCTTGTCCTCTTCTGAATCCAGCTTGACCCTCTGGAAGTTCTCTGTCAATGTATGCTTGCAGCCATTTTTATTTTATCTTTAGCAAAATTTTACTTGCATCCAATGTTAATGATACTGCCCCATGATTTCCATATTCTGTTGGGTCACCTGCCTTTGGAATGGGCACAGATATGGATCTCTTCCAGTTGGCTGGGTAGTTTTCTTTCAAATTTCTTGGCATAGGTGAGTGAGTGTCTCCAAAGTTGTATCAGTTTATTGAAGATTTTAATTTGTATTCCATCAGTTCCTAGTGCCTTGATCATATGCTGCCTCTTCAGATGTTTCAGCACTGACCATTTCTTTTTGTTACAGTGACTCTTTGTATTCCTTTCATCTTAGTTTGATGCTTTCTGCATCATTCAGCATTTTGCCTTCAATATTTCAAGTCAAGGCTTGAATTTTTTCTTCAGTTCCCTCAGCTTGAGAAATGCTGAGCATGTTTTTTCCTTTTGGTTTTCTAACTCCAGGTCTTTGAACATTTCATTATAATATTTGAGTTTGTCTTCTCTAGCTGCCCTTTGAAATTTTCTATTCAGCTCTTACTTACACGTTTTTTTCCATCAGCTTTAGCACCTCTATGCTGTAGAGCAAGTTTCAGGGTGCCTTCTGACATCCATTTTGATCTCTTTCTTCTTGTCTTCATAGTGATCTTTTGCATTCTTTCTGTATGATGTTCTTGATGTCATCATCCCACAACTCTTCTCGTCTTGATGGTCATTAGTGTCTAATGCATCAAATCTGCCCTTGAGATGATCTCTGAATTCAGGTGAGATGTATTCAAGGTTATATTTTGGCTCTTGTGGGCATGCTTTAATTTTCTTCAGCTTCAGTTTGAACTTGCATATGAGCAATTGATGCTCTGTTCCACAGTCTGCCCCTGGCCTTGTTTTGACTGATGATATGGAGCTTCCACCATCTCTTTAGAAGATGCAGTCAGTTTGATTTCTTTGTATTCCATCTCATGAGGTCCATGTGCATGGTAGTCTTTTATGCTGTTTTAAAAAGGTATTTGCAAAGAAGAAGTGATTGGTCTTGCAGAATTCTTTTACGGGATATCCAGTTTCATTTCTTTCCCTAAGGTCATATTTTCCAACTACTGATCATTCTTCATTTCCTACCTTTGCATTTCAATCGCCAATAATTATTTATACAGTTTGATTGCCATGTTTGATCAATAGACTGAAGATGCTGGTAGAATTCTTCAATTTCATTATCACTGACTTTAGTGGGTGGTACACAAATTTGAATAATAGTTGTATTAACTGATCTTCTTTGTAAGCGTATGGATACTATGCTATTATAGACAGCATTATACTTCAAGACAGATCTTGAAATGTTCATTTGCTGATGAATACAACTCTTGTTGTTGTTGTTGTTATGTGCCGTGGAGTTGGTTCCAACTCATAGTGACTCTGTACAGGGTTTCCGAGGCTGTAAATCTTTACGGGAGCAGAAAGCCTCATCTTTTTACTGCAGAGCAGCTGGTAGTTTCGAATGCTGACCTTGTGGTTCACAGCCCGATTTGTATGCACTACGCTACCAAAGCTCCTTGAATACAACTCTATTAGTCTTCAATTTGTCATTCTCAGCACAGTAAAAATGTGATTGTCACATTCAAGATGGCCAAAACCAGCCCATTTCAGCTCACTGTTGTTGTTGTTGTTATGTGCTGTGGAGTCAGTTCCAACTCACAGTAACCCTGCATAGGGTTTCCAAGGCTGTAAATCTTTACGGGAGCAGACAGCCTCATCTTTCTCCGTGGAACAACTGGTAGTTTCAAACTGCTGTCCCTCAGGATAGCAGCCCAATTTGTAACCACTACACTACCAGAGCTCCTTATTTCAGCTCACTAATGCCTAAGGATATTGATGTTTATGCATTCCATTTCATTTTTGACAATTTCCAATTTTCCTAGATTCACTTTGTACTTCCATGTCCTGACACCATTAATGGATGTTTACACCTGTTTTCTACGTTTTGTGTTGTGCCCCATCAACAAATGAAGGTCTTGAAGGCTTTACTTCATTCGCATCATGACAGTCAACTATACTTTGAGGAGGCAGCTCATCCCCAGTTGTCTTTTGAGTGCCTTTCTACCCAAGGGACTCGTTTTCTGGCACTATATCAGATATTGTTCTGCTGCTATTCATAAGGTTTTCAGTGGCTGACATTTCAGAAGTGATTTACCTGTCTTTCTTCCTCGTCTGTCTTAGTCTGGAAGCTCTGCTAAAATCTGTTCACCGTTGGTGACCCTTAATGGTATTTAAAATACTGTCGCCATAGCTTCCAGCATCGTAGCATCACTAGTTCTCATAGTATGACAAACTGACAGACAAATGGTGGAGAGAAGGGTTAAAGAGATGGAAACACTACTTTCAGAAGTATATAGACCTGTTGTTATTGTTAAGTAGTGCCTTTGAGGCAGTTCTGACTCACAGCGACCCTGTGCAGGGCTTCTGAGGAGCGAGCGGGTCATAAGCTTGAGTCACTGACCTTACAGATCAAACTAACCATGTGGTACAGCGCATTAACCCACAAGGCCACACCAGGTGGTGGATATATCAAGAAAGAAAATAACATTTTGTTATTTTTGTTCAGTAAAGGTTTCTAGATTTTGTAGCAGTACTTTTTTTTAACTTACCTTCTTACATTTGTTTTGTTTTTCCTTTAAACCTATTATCTAACTGATACTGTTCTTTGAAGATAGGAATATTATATCTAGTTAATTCAAATGTCATCTTTAATTCATAATCATAAGAATACTTCTCATTGCTCTCAATCCTCTGTCTCAAATTAGAGAGCCATTGGAATCAGGGTGACTGCTCAGTCTTCTGCTTGTATGTATTATTCAAATTTGACCCTATGTATATTTTCTTTGTTAATTGTCTTTTTTTCTCATGTGTATATATTACCCCAGTAGTCTATAACGTCAAGCTTTTTGTTAAAAATTTTCAGTTTCTTTAAAATATAAATGCAGGGTTGTTTTTTAAATCATAATTACCTTTTTACTGGCATTAGCTCTCCATGTGAACAAAAGCTCATAGAATAATGGAATGAAGGCACTGGAATTTTTCCATGGATGTTTTGAATCCCCCACCCCTTGTACAGTCAATTCACTTCTGGAGTGGGAAAAGGAGAGCTCAATAATGCGGTGTGATAGAAAGTGCACTGCAGTAGAAGACTGGAGTTTGACTCTTTTTCCTTGTAACTGGCAAGCCCCACTGCTCCAAGTTTCATTTGCCACTTCTGTAAAATTGAACTATGATACCAGACCAGACCACAGGCAGGAACACGGGCATTGGTTGGTCCCTGGTAATTCCTTCCTGCTCTGTTATGTATGTTACTAGTAAGTGTGTCATTTATCTGGAATGTATCATCCCCTAAATTCTTTTCTTTTTTTCCCTCCCAGACCTGAGAATCTCTATGTCCTTATTCGTACTTACTCATATTCATTAAACTTTAATTAGTTGTATTCTATTTATATCAAACCAGTCATTTCTAAATCAGATCTTTTCTTTGTTCTTGGTACCAAAACAAGATTGCAGCTTCCTTGTTCTTATTCCAGGAGATTGCTTTGCTTTTTCTTCCTGATTGAGTGCAACCACAGGTATTACAAAACAGCTGGCACACTCTGTATTGCTGTGCCTGAGTCCAGTTGGACAGAGTAAAGTAGAGATGCAGGGAAAGTTTGGGGCACAGAGCTCTGATGTTTTATTTATTGTCTCACTTAATTTAAGAGCCTTGGAAAGAATGTTCAGAGTTCATCAGGACAGAAGGTCTGCTCAGTTAGATGCACTTGTACTGCCATTATTGTAATTGATTACAACCACCACGCCCTTACTCTTAGAAGCCCTTTTCTCTTTCCTCATCACCTCTTATTCTTACTCTGAGTGGGGGTTCACAAGTATTTGTCTACACTGAAACACACTAAGAAAATCTGAAAATATTGATTCCCATAAAAATTCAGTAGAAAAGCAACAATGTTATATATTTGAAATTTTGGCTAACTTAACTGGATTTACTCATTTCTTTAATTGTACTACATGTTAGCTATGTTTGCTATCATAGTAGTTATCCAAGACTGTTGATATTCTGATGTCTTAATCAGCTTAAAGTGATAGCAAGGAGGAAGGCAGGCTGAAATCAATCGGTAGGATTTGAATTTAAAGTAATTATTAACACTGTCCAATCTGGTTATGGGGAGCAGGAATAGAATTTCATAGCTTCTCAGCATGCTCATATGTGAAAGATGACTGAATTCACAGAAACAAACCTTTATAAAATCTGGCTAATGCATTTCTAAATGTTCAAAGCACATTAGTGCAAGGGACTTTCAGTTATGAGTTTGATATTGAGTCACTACTGTTCAACCAAGAAAACTGATTGTTTTCCTAGAATAGCAAAGCTGTTGAAAAGCCTTTGCGTCAGTGTTCTCACCATTTAAGTGGGTCTAACATTTCATTAACTGCCTTTTGGCACTATAGGATAAAGTACTGAACCTCAAGGTCGGTTTAAACCACAAGCTTGATGGTTAAGCCCACCAGCCACATCTCAGAAACCCTATACAGGGTTGCTATGAGTCAGAACCAACTCAAGGGTACTTAACAACAACAAATCTAGCTATATGTCCGAAACTCACTCTCATTAAGTTTATTCTAACTCATAGAAGCCCTATATAGGGTTTCTGAGACTTTAAATCTTTACAGAAGCTGATAGCTTGATCTTTTCCCACAAGCTGTCTGGTGGGCTTGGACCACCGACCTTGAGGTAAGTAGTCCAATGCTTAACCCATTATACCGCTGTAGCTCTTTCTTCTCATAGAAGCAGGATTAAAAGTCTTTAAAAGCACATTGAAAACTTGAAAAAGTATACTTCATAAGCATGACAGCTGTTATTTCCACAGCTAAACCTTGAGAATTTAAGTACTTTCAAATCTGCACATGCACATGTATTTTCAAGGCATTTGCGGATTTAAACTGAACTATTTTCAGAGCCTGTGCAATAATTTGATCATATCTGAATAAATTTAATAAGCAATAAAAATGGCATTTAATCCTCTAGTGACATAGCTGCCCTAATAACCCCTCAGGTTTTTTGACCAAAACCCTTTGTTTTTTGTCAGTTGAACCAACATGCTGAGAGATTTCTGAGGTCTGTACTTTGTTTGGATTGTAACCCTATCTATCCTCTCTTTCTTTCTAGGCCATGGCTGTTATCTTCTCAAATTTTAGCATTATAACAACAGCTCTTCTATTCAGGATAGTACTGAAGTAAGTAACTTGCTGTGAAAGCATATATCATACTTTAAACCAGCCCAGCCTTGTTTCAGTTGATATACTCAGAGCACTGAACTTTCATTCTCCCCAAATGGGGATTTTATTCTCACTTGACTTTCTGTGTGGAGCAAGTTGATTAGCCCATCTGGAACCTGACTTAATCCTCTGTCAGATGTAGGAAAGGTTTGATTAGCCCATCTGGAACCTAACTTAATCCTCTATCAGATGTACGAAAGGTTTGAGCATCTCATGTAAAAGGTAATTGACTGGGTTATAAGTGGTAGCTTGTGAGAGAAAGGTGAGGTTTTCTGCTCCCACAAAAATGTACAGCCTTAGTAACCCTATACAGGGTTGCTATGAGTTGGAACCAACTCAGTGGCATTTAAGAACAATGAAAATCATTGGTAGCTTAAATTTTAGTGCTGGGTTTTCAACAGAAAATTCATGAGCTGCTTTTTTTTGTGTGCAGAATCTCTGTGCATTAATGGGAAACCAGTAGGTTTCCAGAGTCCTGGTGTGGTGCTGTGGATAAACACTTGACCACAAAGTCAGTTTGGTCCTCAAGGTTGAATGTTCAAGCTTACCAACTGCTCTTGGAAACCCTATACAGGGTCTCTGTGAGTCAGAACTGACTCAAAGTCACTTAACAATAATAATAGTAGGTTTCTAGGGTTGTGAGTACATTTTGGAGTTTAGAGATGATAAAGAGTAGCAAATTCATCATTAAACACTTGGATTTGTATGAGGAATCTTAAAAGTTTATAATTTAGCTTAGAAAGTAAGAATGATAGGTTTTTAAGTTTTTTCCAAATAGCTTAACCAGTATTCTAGCTCCAGGAGAACCTTTGAAGAATGTAGAAATTTAGCTACATAGGCTTTTGCTTTGAAGGAAAGACCAGGATATCCTAAGGAGGAAGGTACATAGATCGGGTACTTACCTAAAGTTTCACTTGTTATATAATAGTAATGATGCTAAAAATAAAAGCACCTTCTTGTCATATTTGTTGTGGTGGCTCTTTAATTTTTATATTTCCTTTGTCTTATTTTAATGTCTTGCCTCTCACTGTGCCGTGTAAGAGTGTGCTCTTTCATAATTTATCTGTAGAGAAGGAAGAATGACTTGGCTCATAGGCCTGAAACTAAATTCAGTACATGAATTAATAAATCCATTGCTCTCTGCTGTATGGAATCTCTGAAACATTTTCCTTCCCTGAGGAAACATTCAATTTAATACTTAATGTGAACGAATAGGAGGTGGGACTAGGGGTTGGAATCAGTATTACTTTTAGTCTAGTTCAGATGGTAGAGTACATTGAAATTTACTTTATACATCATGTTCTTCATTTTATTTATGAATTGTGAAGATAATTAGCAGTCTAAACCACTGTTCAAAATAGTTTGAATTATTTGGAAATCGACATGTGGCTCATTTCGAAGGATAAAAAGTTGGTTCTGAGAAAAATAAATGAAAGCAATGATTTTTTTTATTGATTCTTGTGATAAAATTAGAAAGGAAAAAAGTGACTACAAAACAATAAAATGGCTCACTTTTTAATAAGAAAGCAAAGGTCTCAAAAATAGGATTTTAAAGTAAAAATGTTTTCCTATGAAATGATAATTCATGAATACACATGATATATTCATCTGTTACATAATATACAAAGATTATGAACAAATGATATTAATTTAAAGTTGAATTTTGCAAAGAAAAGATACAGTGTTTGTATTGCCCCCACTTGAAATTGGTCAGTAGCCCTAGCTTTGCCCCATTTTAAACATTTTAAAAGTTAATTCCTAGTTTAACCAAATCAATCTTTTTGTACTGTAAATTTAAAATATTTGAATTTAATATTACTAGTTAAACTAATATTAATTTAATTATTGCTAGTTTTAATTAAATTTTAAAT